AAATATCAATAACCTCAGATATGCAAATGACACCACCCTTATGGCAGAAAGTGAAGAAGAACTAAAGAGCCTCTTGATGAAAGTGAAAGTGGAGAGTGAAAAAGTTGGCATTCAGAAATTAAAAAAACTCAACATTCAGAAAATTAAGATCATGGCACCTGGTCCCATCACTTCATGGCAAATAGATGGGGAAACAGTGGAAACAGTGAGAGACTTTATTTTTTGGGGCTTCAAAATCACTGCAGATGGTGACTGCAGTCATGAAATTAAAAGACGCTTGCTCTATGGAAGAGAAGTTATGATCAACCTAGACAGCATATTAAAACACAGAGACATTACTTTGCCAAAAAAGGTCCATCTAGTCAAGGCTATGGTTTCTCCAGTAGTCATGTATGGATGTGACAGCTGGACTGTAAAGAAAGCTGAGTGCCAAAGAATTGATGCTTTTGAACTGTGGTGTTGGAGGAGATTCTTGAGAGTCCCTTGGACAGCAAGGAGATCCAATCAGTCCATCCTAAAGGAAATCAGTACTGGGTGTTCATTGGAAGGAATGATGCTGAAGCTGATACTCCAATACTTTGGCCACCTGATGTGAAGAATGGATTCATTTGAAAAGACCCTGATGCTGGGAAAGATTGAAGGTGTGAGGAAAAGGGGATGACAGAGGATGAGATGGTGGATGGCGTCACTGACTTAATGGACATGAGTTTGTGTAAGCTCCGGGATTTGGTGAGGGACAGGGAAGCCTGGCATGCTGCAGTTGCAAAGAGTCAGACACGGCTGGTTGACTGAATTGAACTGAACTGCATTCCTGGATTCTGCTAGCAATTGGCTGCCTAATTTTTAGGTTGTACTTACCTCTGTGTTGTTGGAAGTGCCTGTATCTTAGAAAAGCTTCAGTGTCTGAGGCTTCGCTTCAGTCTTTTTTTCCAGAAGAGAAGCTTCCTGGAAGGAAATTCACTGGAAGGGGTGGATTTCAGAACACGGGTGCTCTGTGCATTGATTGTTCCTGAGAAAAGGGAAATTGAGAATCAAATAATCCTTGAACTTTATGTAAACTTTGAGGTTTTTAATCTACGCCAACCTTCAGCATATGTTTTAATCTACACAACAGATCTCTCCAGAAATGGGACAAGACATCTGTTTATGTGATATAATCTTAAGGAAAGTTGGTTACATAGAATGAAAGAGATTTAAAAATATTTGTCTGAGGTCCTGTAAATAGTTGATGGCTGACCTGGAATTATGGTGCCAGTCCCCTCACTTGTGATACTGTTTTTCCTTGTATTAAATGTGTGTTATGTTTGTCTAGAAAGTATATGGTTTTCATTATGAAACCTATACTGAATCAAACACCCTTGAACCATGAATTTAGAGAATCACTAAATGAGTAAATGCTTTACTAGGTCCCATACGACCAGGAATAATTTCTTCTGTTTTATAAAGTAGTTACAAGTTTATAACTCAAGTTCGTTATGAGTTTGCTTAGGTCCTAGAGGTAGGAGTGCCACCATGGGCTAGGACCAGTCTGTTCAGACAGCAGAAGTTCCCCCTCCCAGATCTGCAGTTTTGTCACTTGGCCTTTTTGTTCTCTATTTCTTCATTTATTCAATTTATTTCTTCTGTCTGTGTCATGTGGAGAAATATCCTGGAGATGAGTGTGATGAAATACATTGAGTAATAGGTTTCAGTTAGCTTACAGGGCTTTGGGAAGTATTTCTCAAGGACTCCAAGATCTCCACTGAAAAGCCATTTAAAAGGAGAACCTTCTCATTTCATTTTCCTGGTTCAGAAATAAACACTATCATTATTAAATATGCATCTTCTGTCTTTCATACATATCAGACAACTGATACACAGATACATACATAAACAAATAAACACATACATGTAAAGAGAGCTTTGTAATCACTCTCTGTTACTCACCAGGATAAGGAAATAAGTAAAAACACAAATTATTATCTTCAATATTTTGTTTCTTGAGTAAAGTTGCCTAAGGCTATTTATTAAATAGAACTGTACGCCTGTTTATGTCACACTGCAAAAATAAAAAAGAAATAACGTCTTACATGTATTCCTTGTTAGTTTTGGAAGATAAATTTCCTTCAGACTCCCTTGGGGTATTTATCACATGATAGGGTGGATATGATGGATATGAAATCTTTACTATTTCTCACCTCTAACATGTGCAGTCTTTGGATCTCTGCTTATGAACCTGAGGATGCTAAAGCAGAGAGAATATTTACCTGGGGCATGAGACACAATCTTAAAAACGTGTCATGAGTAGATAGGTAGCAAATGACCAAATACTTACTTGATCTGGCAAAAAAGTCATCCTTAGGAGACAAACGCTGGAGAGATGGGTCTGCTTTTGTGGCTCCTTGATGCTACAGAGACCAGTAGATGAACCTACAGAATTGGGGTGCAAGATGGGGTTGGGGGGAGGCGATACTGCTACTTACACTCAAGCTCCGGTATGCCTAATTTAAGCGATTTCAGCAACTATGATGGGCATTGTTGTTCAGTCGCTAAGTCATGTCTGACTCTTTGCGACCCCATGGACTGCAACACGCCAGGCTCCCGGCCCTTTCCTATCTCTCAGGGTTTCCTTAGATTCATGTCCATTGAGTTGGTGATACTCTCTAGTCACCTCATCCTCTGCCACCCCCTTTTCCTCCTGCCTTCAATCTTTCTCAGCATCAGGGTCTTTTCCTGATGGGCATGGGCTAGTTTAATCAGATATAAAGCAAGAATAAAACAAGGTGATATAATAAAGCCAGGCTATGTCTAGCACAAATAAAGCTGATGGTTTTCTCGTGGTTTCTGATGGTTTTCTGTTTATATAGCAGTACAGAATAAGATTGTTAATCACTAAGCCATTAGAATTTAATTTTATACTATTTGTTGGCATGCTGCTGACCAATATGCATCAATAACTTCCATTTTTCTGACATATGCTGCTCGTTTCCCTGGTGCATCTGCCCTTGTGCTTCTTTTCATGCCCAAAGCTCAATAGCAAGAGTGCAGATACTCACAAACCGTTCCTAGAGCCTTACTTCCTGGCCCATGCCTGATGCCTTTCAAGAATGGGAAATTGGGAGATACACATTTGTGCTAAGATTGAAATATCCAAGGCTCAGGGTCTATTCCTTATTTATGCTTCTGATGTTGGAAAATGTATTAGGAAATGAATCATATGGTGTTCAAGGACTGGAAAGGACATTTAATAAAATAGGCACACGAGGAAGCGACTAATCATAGTGAGGAGACAAGAGGAGGAAAATTTGAAACTGTAAGAAAAAAGGGCAGCTTAGTCGATGGGTAGGAAAATTATTTCTAGAATAAATGTGGGGAAAAAAAGAATAAATGTGGAAAGATTTCACTGATGTAAGAAATATCTCATGTGATCAAAATAAAGGAACTCACATGACGGTTTTAGTCAATATTAGATAATAACAGTTGTGATGCATCAGTTCTGGGATTCCTTTCATCCTGGATGCTACTAGATAAACATGCAGTAGGAGGTGGTCTGGGGTTCTCACCTGCTTACATTTCATCTCGTTAAGGGAACGCCGAAGGAAGTGAAAAATAAGTTAATTGCTTCATGATTTGGAAAAGGGGGGAAGAAAAAAAATGTAAGAAGTGTCTTACTGACACTTCTTAATGTAAAGAAGTGTCATAACTGAGGTTATGTGTTTGTTTCTGAGTTATATTATCTACCAGAGGAAAAAAAAATGATTAATAGTCAATAAGCCCAAGCCTTTGCTGGTCTTCCCTGGTGGCTCAGCAGAAAAGAATTTGCCGGCCAGTGCAGAAGACACAGCAGACACAAATTTGATCCCTGGGTTGGGAAGATCCCCTGGAGAAGGAAATGGCAACCCACTCCAGTATTCTTGCCAGGAAAATCTCATGGACAGAGGAGCCTCGCAGGCTACAGTCCATAGTGTCGGATATGACTGAAGCTACTGAGCACATGAATGTGGTCTTTGTTGAACTTAAAATAATACATAGACAATTGCAAAATAGAATTTTATTTATCTGATTCTTTTTTCCACATATAATCTTTCAGTATAAAAACATGTCCAGGCCTTCACAAGTGCTTTTCATTTTCCAAAAAAAAGAACAAACTTACTAGCTTTTTTGTTAAAAACAATGGGAATTTATCTGAGTCCAGTATTCTTAAATCCCCCTTAACACTTATCTGTGTGTTCTGTGAAGGCAGAACTTGCCAGCAATAGGGATGATGCTCTAGAGAAATTATATTTTAAAACATATGGAAATGTAGTTTTTGGCAGTTGTAATGCCCAATTTTCCTCTGTGGTGTGGGTAACCTTAGGAAAAATATTTTGAGAGCACAACTCTTCTGACATCACATACAAGCCAAAAAGGTGAACGGTACCAGGTGACTAGTCAGCACGCCCCTCTGTGGTCATATATTAGACTTCGAGCCTTGTGCAAAGTTCCACTTTCAAAGCTGCCGCTCCACTGGCCTCCTTAGGGAGGACTTGAGGTGAGTGGACATCTCAGAAGTCCTTTTGCTATCACTTCAGCAGGATGCTGATGGTTTCATTTGACATTGAAAAAGCAAGGAAAGCGATTTAGGCTTAATGCGATTATGGCCACGCTAGAATTAGATGTCATGAATGTTTTTATTTAATGGACAGCACAACTCAAGTTAAGAGCAGATCATGCAGGACCAACAGGTGGGCATCCACTGGTAGGTTGGCCGTGCTGCCGAGATAGAGATCCACTGCCCATCAGCCTGCTATTTATGGGTCCATTAGTGCATCTCAGGCATGTTGGGGTGAGGAGACCCTCAGGTACAGTCCTCAGTTGATAAACACCACGGCTGCCATCGGAATGCCTGACATCCTCCTACTATGCTCCCAGTGCAGTCAAGGTTCGCTCTCAGTAAAGATGAAAAGCGTTGCAGGCGTCATCTTCCAAACGCTGTGCTTTTTCAGGTAGTCCGTTTGAAGTCCAGTGCTCCAAAACCATGACTAGGAAATTGGTTTCACTATATTGTCCTCGAGGTTTATTTTGTTCAAAGCCCCAGGTTTAAGTGCAGAGGAGTCATCCGCCCACACGATGGAAGTAGACACACTTTTTTTTTTAGTTTTGAAAATCGATTTTCTCCGATGTTTGTGCAACAGCTGTTTCAACTTGTCCTTGAAAAAGCTGGTTGTGAGAGTGTAGAGGATTGGGTTCAAGGCACTGTTTACTGGAAGGAAAAAAATGACGACCCAGGAGGTGATTGTGCCTGGAGAAGGAAACGAAACGTGCAAGAAAGGTGAGGATTTAAAACACACAAAACACATTACATGCTATGGTTAATGCTGTTTTTGAGAGGGCTACCCATTCCATCTAAGTCTTCTCTCACCTTCTGGAAAATCTCTTTGCCAGAAGAGCATAGGAGCTACAGATTCAAAGTCCTACATGAGCTTTTCTGAGTTTCAGTAACTACTCTGTAGTTTGTCGTGAATCAATATGGGAGGAAACATTATGTGAAAACACTTTATAAACTATAAATTGATATGTACTTTTCTAGTTTTTATTGCCTTTCCTTATATAAAAATAGGAAAATGAGCAATTAATTGGACAGTGTCCAGGAATCTTCTGGTTTAGAGTCAGATTTGATCTTGGTCTAATTTCAGTCCTGAAGATCTCCATGCCTTACACTATTATATTTGGAATGGAGTCAGAAGATCTGAGGAGCAAAAAAGAATATATCTCCAAACTCAATGAATTCCTTCAGTGTGAAGCCTTTCAAAGGCTAATAGAATATAAGGGAAATGTTTCACAAAAAGGGAGGAGATATTTTGGATGACAGAGAGTTTTCTGAATTCAGTTGTCCCTTGATATCCATGGTGGGACAGATACCAAAATCAGCAGATTCTTAAGTCCCTTATAAAATATGGCATAGCATTTGCATATAACTTACGTACATCCTCCCATATCCTTTAAATCATCTCTATATTACTTATAATACCTAGTACAATGTACTTGCATGTAAAGAGTTATAAATACAATGTAAATACTATGGAAATATTTGCTAGCACAAGGCAAATTCAAGTTTTGTTCTTTGGAAATTTCTGGAAAATTTCCCCCCAATACTTTCAGCATGCGGTTGGTTGAATCCATGGATTTACGATGGGCCAACTACATTATTTATTTGGTTAGGATGAAATGTGTTTTCCTGCTCAAATATAGCCTGATCCTCGGCTTGCACACTTCTTAGCTCTGAGACTGTGGGAAAATCAACTAAGCTCCGTAGACCTCAACTGCCTTATCTGTGAAAGGGGCTGATGATAACTTACATGACTGATGTCCGGGAGCTGGGCCGGCTCTGCGGACGTCCCTTTTCAGCACTAAGCCCTGTTGTTCTCCAGACCCACCACACTCTGCCGCCTCCTCCCCTATCTTCAAAGTCAGAGAACTGTCATCTCGGGGGACGAGCTGGTCGGTCAGACCAGCATCCTTCCTTCCCCTCTCCCACTCCTTTGTGACTGCAACCCCTTGCTTCCCCATCCCACAGTTTTCTTATCCTTCACGCACTGCTGTTGCTCTTCTCTTAGTCCCGCTCTTCCCTATATCCTTTCTGTTCTTCTGGTTTGCTTTCCATCTCTTCTCTGACTGTCTGCCCCTTCCTCCTTCCCTGTGACCTCTCCCTTCTCCTTTTTCTATGTTTGCCTCTCCTCTTTTCATCCCGTCTTCTCTTTCTTTTCCTTATTTCTTTTTAACTGGAAAGAATATGAAAGAAAAACATTTGTATTTAGCATATCTTAGATTGATTCAATGAAGTTTTATATTAGTATATATTACTTGTCCTTAATTTTTTAAAAATTAGATACAAACAGTATGTGATGGAAGAAAAACAGTTGGTTTTTTTGTCTATTGAGTCCTTAAAGGAGGCTGTGATCAGGAATGAGATGTCCCGTTAGTCTCAGGGTCACTCGGTGATGTAAGGTTAGCATCATCTCAGGACTGAGATGGGAGGGCTGAAGCCAGCTTACCTTTGTGGCTGAGCCCAGGTACTATCGGCCACCTGCTGTAGTGGAGAAGACCCCACAGTTCTTGGAGGGTGGGGACGGGGTGGGTTTAGGTCCATGAGTGTAGCAATTTGTAGAACACCATGGGAAGTTGGGCAAGGAAGGAGAGGCTTAGTCAAGTGTGGTAAAGACTTCTCTCCTAGTTCCACTGCGGTGCTCAAGACAAACCTCAAACTGCTGAATTATAAAACGTAGAGAAAGACTAGCGTGTGGCCCATTAATGTTTCATGATAATTTCTTCCTGATCTGGTTCCCTATCATGGTCTGAAATGTCTGAGACTTTCTCCAAGAATGACGATTACTCCCCCTGTTATCAGGCTTCCCTGCTGGCTCAGTGGTAAAAGATCTGCCTGCAAAGCAGGAGATACAGGCTCCATCCCTGGGTTGGGAAGCTCCCCTGGAGAAGGAAAAGGCAACCCACTCCGGTATTCTTGTCTGGGAAATCCCATGGAGAGAGGAGCCTAACGGGCTACTTACCCTACCATAGGGTCCCAAAAGACTCAGATATGACTTAGCGACTAACCAACTACCACAACCCCTACTATCAGAAAACCTTGTCGTGAGACTAAGCTGATAGGTTAAAGGGATGTGGTGGGTGTTGTGTGGCATTTGTGAGACATTTGACAAGGCAGAGGGACATAAATAGTTGCAGGAGTTTGTTACTCAAAGAGTCTGCCTGCAATGCAGGAGAACTGGATTTGATTCCTGGGTTGGGAAGATCCCCTGGGGAAGGAAATGGCAACCCCCTCCAGTATTCTTGCCTGGAGAATCCCATGGATGGAAGAGCCTGGGAGGCTATAGTCTATGGGGTTGCAAGAGTTGGACATGACAGCGATTAATCACAGACACACACCTTTGTTCCTTGGCCATCCACAGGGCCCGGTGTGACGACCACATGGCCAGGGCCGTGAAAGAGACTAATGGTTCTTAACCAGGGGGTGCACCTCGGAACTGCAGGGGGATCTTTTCTAAAATACCCATGTCTAGGCCTTGGTCGCTGTTGACTGAATTCAGAGGCCCAGGCTGGAACCTGGGCATAAATATTTTGTTCTGTTTTATGTACCCTTGGTGAAGCACCACTCTCTAGCTCAAGTGGAAGTGAGACACTGAGATTTAGTTTTTCTCTCTCTCCTGTGTTTTTATTATTCTAATCAGGGTTACACCATTACCCAATTCGTATCTTAAAATGCTGATTATAAAACACCGAGTAGGGCTTTCCTGGTGGCTCAGTGCTAAAGAATCCATCTGCCAGTGCGGGAGACATGGGTTCGATTTCTGATCTGGAAAGATCCCACATGTTGCAGAGCAGCTAGGTCCGTGCACCAAAACTATTGAGCCTGTGCTCTGGAGCCCACGAACTGCTTCTACTGAGCCCACATGCCCTGGAGCCCGTGCTCTGCAACAGGAGAAGCCACTGCAATGAGAAGCCCGCACACCACAACTCGAGAGTAACTTCCAATCGCCACAGCTAGAGAAAAGCCCACACAGCAAGGAAGGCCCAAAACAGTCAAAAATAAATAAAATTATATATATACACACATATATATTTATTTTATTTATATAATATATATGTAATATATAATATATTGTATTTATATATGTATGTATAAACACTGAGGAAATCATAACTCAAGCTGTAGGTATTTGTGGAGAATTTACTACACGTGAGACCCTGTATTCTGGCCTCCTCAAACAGAGGATGAAAGAAGACACAACGTGCTTGGGAATCACAGAAGGGACTGACCTGGTATTTCCACCCGGGAGAGGGAAAGAATTTTAATTACAAACACAGGAATCCAGCAGATGGCGTCAGAGAACACTATAAAAAAGAAACGGTTTGCAACAGCCACCTCTCTTCCCATGTGACTCCTCACTTCTGAAGTCTGCAGGGCAGTTTTTTGAATGGAACAGAACATGACAGTATAGGAAAACACAATGATGAGGAAAGCCAGCAAATTCACACCTGTTGGGAAAAGCACACCTCTTAACATCTCAGGTGTATAAGTCAACAGTAGAAATATTGTATTACTTAAATGTTTGGTATGGTGCCTTTCCCAAGAACCATTCTTTGTATTAGCCGAGTGGTAATCAGCTAAAACCCTGAACCCACGGCTATAAACTGGAATAAAAGCATTGGGTTCGCCAGATCAAAAAGATAGTTCAAATACATAAACACATTACCAAGAATTATAGACTTTGAAATTCAGATCTAGGTATATCATGAGGTAATCTGTAGCTTTTTAAAGCAGGAAAAAGGCTATTTAATTTTTTTACCTCTCTGCAAATTCAAACCTTAAGGGATTACTGTAATCACATGTACATATCAAAAAATCAATATGCCCTATTCCTTTATCTTATAAATATGATTAAGATAACCTTGGGATATCAAGAAGATAATAGCATCAGAAACATTATTTCTCATGTTTATTGGTCTTAAATAAAAATAATACCTAGGACAAAAAAAATGCATCTTTATTTTCCTTCAGATTGCCCATAGTAATCTAAACTGAAATTCATAACTCTTTAGACTGTTTTAGAAAAAGGAAGAGTAAGAGAAAAACTAAAAATTCAACTATATGAATTACTGCTTTAGAGTCACTTATCCCATAATAGTGACGTTTTGGTCACTTTGTTATATTCTTGCTACCATAAAAATCCTGAGTGCTCATCTTATTCCTTATAGTGAATGTAAAATATCCATATAATTTCAAAGTTTTTTAAAATGTCCATTTGAGTAGATTGTATGTAAGACTAGTAAAATCTAGGGAAAAATAATATAAATTCTTGGTGTTTCATTGTTTTTATCCAAAACATTTTACATGGAATCTCGTTACAAAGCCATACAATTGGATTTCACAAAATTGGTTGATCTTAGGTCTACTGTCAGAAAGTTAAGAATAAAAAAAAAAATGACTGTTAAAGATGTTTCTCTGGTACAAATCCTGAAAACAGACCTATAGAAAGGTTCGGAAGTGTATGTTCTGGAAACACCATAGGAATGTGAGAAGTTAACAACAGTGGAATCTGGGTGAGACATGTCTGAAATACAGGAAACTGTACTGTCTTTGCAACTTTTCTCTAAATCTATTCTAAAAATTTAAAAATTATTTAAAAACTATATATTCTTATTTTTAAGCAAAAAATATGGGCCCTTAAGACTCCATGTCTCACAAATAAGCTGTGTAAATGCAGATGATATTTATGTGTGTGTATGTGTGTGTGTGCGTGTGCTAAACCCTGTCAACCACCCCCACACCTCCACCACAAGATCCAGCCACACAAACTTCTTTTGCCCTTTATCTGGGCCTGTTCCCTGGCTGTGAGTCTCTAACTCCTGGAACACAATGTCTGCCTTCACTTGGCCAATGCATCCTCACGCTTTGGGCCTCAGTTTGGGCTGATTTTTACTGGGACGCCTTCCGCGGTCCTCAGATCTTGGGCTCCTAGGACATTCTGCACTCCTCCTCCCTGACTTCTGTCAGCCGGTGACACGAGGACGTGTTTACTTGTCTTCATCCTCCTTTCTGGCTGCAGGTCTGTGGGGACCAACCTATTTGATCTCCAGTACCCAAAATAGTGCCTGGCCTATAGTAGGTGCTCAATAAACCCTTTTTGAATCAATGAATATAAGGTTGTGTGTGTGTGTGTGTGTGTGTGTGTGTGTGTAAGCGTGTGTTGAGGAAGTTTTCCAGGAAGTGCACCTATACTGGGAATGGCTTACAATACTGTAGACATGATACAGCCATGAGAAAATGACGACCAAATAGGGTTCTATGTGAGGAGTATTATTAAAATGGTGCAAATAAAGTGTTTTCTTTTTCAAAGGGAGAAGGAATAGGACTAGAATAGCTGGGAATGGTGCTTAGGGCCATTTTTTGATGGGCTTTTAAGTGGCTAATTTAAACTTGACCCTGGTTGTAGGGGGTTCCTGAAAGTCTCCAAGCAGAGGATACTCAGTCCTTTGGATACTCAGGTGGTGAACAGATAAACAGGAGAGCAAAGACCCCAGAGGCCAAAACACCAGTGAGGACTACTGTAATAATTCAGGGTGAAGGTCATAAGGCTTTAAAGAAAGGTGACAGCAGTAGGTACAGACTGAAAGAAAGAGAAGTCAGAGGCATATTTTGAAGAAAAAAAGTTTGATAAAAAAGAAAGGATGACAGAGCTTATTGCCTCCTTAGATGAGGGGACCAGATGCGAAGGGGGAACTGAATTGATGATACAGCCCTGGTTAAAGAGAGAACACGGAGATGGCCTTAGTGTTAAGCAAGAGAGATACCTATTAGACAATATAAGACATTTTTTTTTAATCTTTAGGGGCTAAACTTCTCATTCACTTGTAATAGAGAAGGTTGGGTTTTCTTTTCTAATGAATCAGGGAGGATTAAGGAAACGGAAAAGCACCCTTCCGTTGCTGACTCTAGAGCTGCATTTATGAAAGGCAATAAACCTTTCTGGCATTTCCACTCAAATAATCTCCTACTAGTGAATTTCAAGAATTTTGTTATTATTATTTATTTAGCTCATATCTAGACTGTGAAAAAATGAGTTCAAATAACTTGGAAGGGTCACAGGACATGGCAGAGAACTGGAATTCCTCCAGATCACTGTCACTGTGTATGAACATAAAATCAAAGGGTCTCACAGATAATAAAAAAGATGATTTGGAGATCCTGACAGTATGTTTTTATTTTTCATACCATATCTCTTAATAAAAAATTTAATAAAAACACTTATAAATATGCAGCAAGAACTTTTCTTTAAAAAAAGGAGACAGTCTTAACTATATTTGCTTACTTTCTGAAACAGACAAATATGGCATTACTGAAATTTGTGGTATTTCTATCAAAATGATGTTTGTCCAGGAAATGAGAAATAAGTTACCTAGGAAAATTCCAAGAGAATACCCTTTGCTTCCAATATCTTCTGTTTGGTCATAATAAAGTGGGAAACATACTCCATTTTTTCCATAAAAGTTTCCAAAATAATCCTCCTTCCACAACGGAGTCACAGCTATTAAGAACCCCACAATCCAGATGCAGATGAGGATGGCCAGGGTCTGCCATTTTCCAGGACGAATGTTACTGAAGGGAAAGACAACGGCCAGGAACTTCTCCAAGGTCAAGTACGTGAGCAAGAGGACAGAGACCTCAGTGGACAGCATGGCCAGGAAGCCCAGGAGGCGGCACTGCAAGCTCTCCATCCACAGCAGCGCGTACTTCTGATACTGCCCACGGTACTTTAGATCACAAAGGCCGATGAAGAACAAATACACACCCATCAGGCAGTCTGCACCTGTTGAAGAATCATAGAGTATGTGTCATCAAGAAACATCCCTGTCTTCACTTTCTGATTAGACCTGCTTCCTCTATACTGTACTAAATGAACTAACGAAACCATAAAATAGTACTTAGGAGTCAACAGACTTCAAAAGGTGTACTATTTCTAAAGTACTACACCGCATCTTTATAATTTTGAAAAAGTGGTGATAGGGAGATAATTAGGGTTGTGGGGAGCCTGGGCTTCCCAGGTGGCACTAGTGGTAAAGAACCCGCCTGCCAATGCAGGAGATGTAAGAGACACAAGGTTCAATCCCTGGGTCGGGAAGATTCCCTGGAGGAGGGTATGGCAATCTATTCCAGTATTCTTGCATTGAGAATCCTATGGACAGAGGAGTCTGGTGGGCTACAGTCCATAGGGTCACATAGAGAATCTAGGTTTTAAACAGTAAAAAATATAACTGACATATTTAATAAAGGGAGTAATTTTCTGGGCTTGAGTAACATGGATGTTACTGCAATTAAAGGTTAAACAAAGCATAGTTTTGTAACCTACAACTTGTCCTTCTATAATCCATCCCTTGACTCATTGACTCCCTGTTACTTATTTTCCCAGACATAAATCACTGCAGACTCATGCAATCCAGAACAGAGTAACCAAAGAGAACAACAGGACTTTCATACTTTAAAAAAATTTCCCAGAATATGTAATTCATATTAAATGCCATTTGCTGAAGGCTGTTATAATCTAGAGCACAGCGCACTGAAGACACCCTTAATCCATTTACATGGAAAACATACTTACAGCAAAGGATTTTGATGGACGTAGCGTGAGTCGTGTTTTCAGCTTTAATGAAAGATCTCATGCCAATGACAAAAAGGTTTCCAAAGCAGGTTATGAAAGCTATAACCCAGACAAATACTCTGAGGATATTGTTAGCCAAGAGGTCCTCAAATGAAGAAATGCCGTCAGTCAAGGGCATACATATTCGGACATGGGGAGCATAGGAGCAGTATCGAAAGTTTTTGAAATAACTAAAGTCAAAGGGAAAAAAGAGTCACTTGACAGCAATGACAGAGACGACAGGCGCAGTCCTATTTGGGGCTGCAGCTGTGGTAGGTGTGCGGCTTCACTAGGCTTGGTTATTTTTGTTTATTAGTGATTATGGAAGGATAGAGTTCTTCATTCAGTATTACTTTACTCTAGGCAGTCTTCCTCCTTTAAAGGTGAAGAACCTAAAGAACACGGGGATCTGTGGCGAGGACGTGAGAATGGCAAGTCTCCAGGGACCTAATTTTCCCTGTCACATTGGGTGGTTCTCTGGGGTGTTATAAGAAGTTGATGGTCATTATGAAACTGATTTTTAACAAACTTTCAGGGGCTTGGGTTTGGGATATTAAGAGTCTCACTAAAAACATTCCTGTCTTGTACTTACTTTTAAGTCAATTCCCTTAAACTAGCCTTCTTTTCCCTGGTAGGGGCAGGAAGGGAGGGTCCATGAGACTAGGAAAATTCAGTCTCATGGCAGCGAGTAGGAGAAGCAGCTACACAGATTCCTGGTCAGGGCCTGGAAGGACTTAAACCATTTCGAGAGGAAAGAACAGGCTTGTCTGTCATTGGTGTATTTATGATCTAAGTGTGTGCAATCTTCAAGGGTTTAAACTGGGGAGGTCATTTGGATTTAAGGTCATTCTCCAAACCTGTTATGTTTAGGATTTTCTCCCATAAAACTTGTTCTATTTTTGTATTCATTTATCACCTCTTTCAGTTCCTTTCTCATCTAATCTTTTTGTTTTTCAATCTGTCCATTCAATTTTGCTAAACTAGCCAGTTAAAGAAAGCTTTACTTTGCCTGGCTTCCAGGCTTCCCGTGACCGGACCCCTGGCTACCCTGATCACTTCACCGCTTCCCGATATGCTCACTCCACCCAGACACGTGGGCTTTCTTCTAATCCTCAAACAAGCCGGTTCACCTTCTTCTCGGTGTGCTGCTTTTGCTTTTCCCTCTGCCTGCAAGACCCTCCCCCTAGAATTGCCTCCCTCCATTTGGGGCTGCTTTACTGTCACATCTCTGACTTCTGGGTGAACCATCTACATTCCCTTCCTTCATCCCTTGAACTCGCTATACTTTCCTTCCCAGCATTTTTTCATCATTTATTTGTTTCCTAGTTTACTTTCTGGCTCCCGAAGCTCCATGGAAGCTCCATGGGGCAGGTTCTTCTCTCTCTCGCTGACCCCTGTGTTCCCCCTGGCCTGAGGGAGGCACCAGAAACACACACTTGTTAGACAAGCAGATGGATGGTTTCGTGCTGGTTGTGTCAGGTACCCCCATCCTCAAATAGCTTAGAGTGGTCCAGCCTCTCCGCCTGCTGTGACCAGGGCAGGTGGGCAGGTGGAGGTATTTCAATAAACAATGGACAAGGAAGATGAAAGGAGAATCACTAGGTCACTTAGTAGGGAAGGAACCACGTTCACACACTTTCTGTTAATCATTGGGTCCTTCTTGGCCTCAGCCCGAGGTCCACATTTAAAGCAGCTGCTTCTCCATCAAGTTCTACAAAGTTTGAATTTCTCTGTTCTAAGAAGACCTCACATTCTGCCCGCAACAAGGAAACACTAGCCTCATTAAATATTTATCTACTGGAACCACAGAAGGAGAAGTTATGAAAACCATTTGGATGTACATCAAATACTTGTCCTTGGGTAATCAGTCCTGCTGCACAGACATAAACAAAATATTCTCCCCAAAGTGCACCTTCACACTAACCATTTCAGCCACTTGCTGCACCCAACTTGATATCTTACATCGAATCCTCCCTATTGTTGTGGATGACAATGGTTAATTTTTGAAATTAGAACATATAGGTTACACAGTTGATAAAGAAATGATCATGTCATATACACATATATTAACACAACTTACACAGTGCACTTTAGCCAAATATATTAACGTGACTTATCAAAAACTACTATAAAGATGAATTACCTCCATTTTGTAGTGCACTCAGTAACAGAAACAACACCTGGAATTTATATAGCATCTTTCTTCCTAAGGGCTCAAATCTTAGAGTGGCCGACTGCTCACTCATGTGAGGTGAATTAATGTTTCCAGGTCTCTTGAGTACCATTAGCCAGTGACTTCATCTTGTGTAATATGTGGCATTCTGGTACCCTGATCTCTTATTGGGCCTCAATTGGATAAACAGCGTGTTTCCAGAGAGAAGTGTCATTCATGTCGGCACATCATAATATTGAACTCTATTTGAACAGGGACCAAAGGTGACAAAATTAAAAAGTTCTCAATAAAAAAGACTTTTTCTTGCATAAAAACACATTGCAGTGATACATTAGACAGTTTACGCTAGAGCATCTGTAACATTTCACCATATTTTCTTCTCTGTTCTTTCATACATACATACATGTAGGAAAGATTCTTCATGGGTTGAAACATCCGTGTGTTTATATTCGGAATCTCTATCCTTTCCAGGTCTCTGGAAAATAGGCACAATAGGTTTCATGATTTTAGGGTTTAACTTTTTAATCATTGTTTTCTTTGTCGATCTTAAAAACCATGCTTCAAAATCTTCTGTTGTCAATTCAAATTAGGATGAAAATTTTACAATAAACCATCTTAGAAAATTGCCATTTCTATTTATGCCTCCCATAACTTGGAGTTGATTTTGTCACTTTCATGTGCAGAACTGCCTTCTAATAAAACACTTTCATTCATTTTTTTGATGTAAAAATGGCAGCTGTGATTTGTATGATTGTGAAATTGGCTCTGTAGCTTGATCTCATAAACCAAACAATATGAGTTACAGGGTTTCAGATAAGGGCTGATATTTTGAACGTGAGAACATTACCAAAGTGAATTTTGCCAGAACCCAGATTTAAATAGAGTCATTTCTTCCTGGCCTGTGTATCCTCAGGGTGGAAACCATGGGAGCGGTAAGAGGAACTCTGATTCAGGGCGATTGCTTTCTCAGGCCACAGTGGGAAGTGTAATTCCTTTCACTCCTCGAGCCCCATAAAACGTCCTCAGGGGGCTCCAGTGGTAACCCCTAACACTCCTCACTTAAGCTTCTTTAAATGTGGATTCTTTGAATACTCTTTAGGATGACATGATTTAGAGGAGTCTTCATGTTTTCAGGAAATGTAGGTAGAAAGAGGATAATCTAGGAAGACAGAAACCTATTGCTCTTAAGGCTTATTTTGAAAATGCGTGATTCTCAGTTTCTTTTGGGCAAATCAGAATAAGGATTTCTTGACAAGGTTCTAAGTTGTCCATTGCCCACTGAGTCTTTTATAGAGGACTTTGATGGTCAGAAATGAGATTTAGGGAACAACTATTACTACTGAACAGGGCCCCTCCTACAGAAAATTCTGGAGTCCTTTTTAAAGAATTTTTCTCTCTTTTCTTTCTTTTGATCTCTAGGTTTCTTTTGGACTTATCATAGTTTCACCATTACATGGATTATGTGATTATTTGGTGAATGGCCTGTAGTTTTCAAAACAGCAGAGGCTACTGTATACTGAGTGCCCAAGACAGTGCTATGATTAAGTTGGCCAATAAATGTTTGTAAAATAAATGTGCAAACGAATCTTTAGAGAATAGGAAATGAAGTAATAAAGAAAGAAAAGAAAAGAAGAAAGAGACATATGGAGTAAATAGTTACTGCTTTGAATTACCTTTCAGAAAGGTAGGATGTGTAATGGTATTTCGGCTTTTAGAATTCAGTATGTGGTGAGTGAAGGGGAGATCATTTGGTCCACATCCTCACGTCTGTTCTTATACTTAAGAACAATGTCTTATATATATATATGTGTGTGTGTGTGTGTGTGTGTGTGTGTGTGTGTATACACACACACACATATATATATATATTATATTATCATCATCATGTTAGTCGCTCGGTTGTGTCTGACTCTTTGTGACCTCATGGACTATAGCCCGCCAGGCTCCTGTCTGTGGAATTCTCTAGGCAAGAATATTGGAGTGGGTAGTCATTCCCTTCTCCAGGGAATGTTCCTGACCCAGGGATCGAACTCAGGTCCATTGCAGGAGGATTCTTTACTGTCTGAGCCACCAGGGGAGCATACACACACACACACACACACACACACACATATAAGCATATGCTTCATATATATATATATATATATACACACATATATATGTTTAATATTCTAGCTTCTTGAGAGCAGGAACCAAGACTTTTTCATCACTGGATGTTCACTAATACCTATTGAGAGAGAATCTAAATCTTGTATTAATTTCCAATAGAAAACTATTTAGCAAGAATAAAAAGTGGTATTAAGGACTGGTTTTTGGAATTAAATGAAGAAAAGCTTTTGGCTGAGATCAGGTAAGGTAGTACATGCTTTGTGAGGGACAAAAATAGCTTTGATCAATAATGGCTGTTTATGGGAAAGGAATTGATGAGGTTCTAAGAATAACTGGCAGGGTTCTTGGCACCATTTGAAATCTAGTACATTTGAAATTGTAAAACACTAAACGGTATTAATTGTCTGAATGTTCATATTTGTGGAGTAATTTTTTATTTACTGATTGAAAAGTGAAAAGCATGCTCTGCAGATAGATATCAAGTAGATTGTTGTAGGAAAGAAGAAAGGAAAAAAGTAGAGATGTCTTCAAAAATTTATTTTTTTTAACCAACTACTTAGTGATGAAACTATTGCAAATTTAAATCTTTGTGAGAACTATAAGATGATATTTTTTTCATGAGAATCCTGTTTTCAGGAAGGAGCTATGTGTAGCTTCAAACCCCGAAATGGTTTTTATACACTGAATGGTAAAAAATGAGATTATGTTGTCATTTGATACGTGATGGTAGTAACCATGATATTCACAAGTGTTTGAGAATGCATGTTTATGGTAAAAGCCCTCCTGTGTGCCAAATACTCATTTATAAATAAATGTGGTTCTGAGTAAAGCAACCCACTAACATCACAATCAACATACTGTTACATTTCACTTACAAAGACTGAAGTTGTTTAAGACTTCCAAACTGGCTCTTGTGGAGATACAAAAGAGGATTGGACGACAGATTCCTTTTGTACCATTAGAAGGGAGGAGGAAAGAAGCATCAGGACATTATTATTTTGGAAACTCAAGATGTTGCCATTTAACTCTGATGACAGGGGTGGGAAGAAGAACTTACAGTTTCTGTAGACGCTTCAGGTCTTTGAAAATGTGGGGTGGTAGCTCCGATATCATATTGCTAGACAGGTCCCTGTTGGTGACAGTGAAAAACCCAAAGCAATTACAATGAAAATAAACGCCACAGTTGTTACTGCTCACAACTGTCATCATCCCCTTTGATGTAACAGAAAATTCAATCCACTTTAACCAACCTGAGAGCTCGTTACACAACTAAGCCATGTGATTCAGCCAAATGGGTATGTTTTCCTCCACTTTCAGACGTGTGACATTTTGCTTATCCAGTTCCAGTCTGGAATTTCCTCTCAGCTCCTCTCCAACACATTCCCAACCTAGCTTCAAGGTCTACTTTCATTAATTTCCTCTGTTTTAGGTACTTTTTGTACCTTCAACCATTCATTGTTTCTATGATTCCTATTGGTTCACATATGTGATATCTTGTTTACCCAACTACATTAGAAGCTTTCTGAGGTCAAGACCAGTGTCTTCTATTTATTTTGCATTCCAACTAAGAGTTTTGACCATATAATATCCACCCAGATGATACTGAATGGATAAGTTCACATATTTTTCGTCTATTTTTACATGGTGCTATTTTTTTTTTTAGAAGAAACTGAGAATTTATATCTGACTCTAATAGGGCTGTCCAATCCAGAAAGAATTGCAGAGAAGTGTTTCTAGAGAATGTGAAAACAAGATTTGTCAGGATAAAGAAGGAATCAGGAATCTTTAAGAGTCCAAAATATCCTTCTGAGCCAGAGAAGGTGTTAAAAGTGAAACAGATGTGAAATTGCCTAGGAGTCAAACAAAAGATCTGCTTCTGATGCTATGGTGCTCCTGATAGATATATTGGAGTTACAAATAACTGTGAAAATTCTTTCTCTAAAAAAGATTAGAATTTAAAAACTAGGTTATGAAATAAGAAAAGAAAGAAACAAGGGCTATTACGGAAGTACAGATGAAAAACAGAGGAAGGACTCATCAAACTTGGCCTGGGAAATTATGAAGTGTTTGAGTAAAGCTTAATGATTTGTAGAATCCCTTAGAAGAAATGGAATAGCCATCATAGTCAACAAAAGAGTCCAAAATTAAGTACTTGGATGCAATCTCAAAAACAACAGAATGATCTCTGTTTGTCTCCAAGGCAAATCATTCAATATCACAGTAATCCAAGTCTATGCCCCGGCCAGTAATGCTGAAGAAGCTGAAGTTGAATGGTTCTATGAAGACCTACAAGACCTTCTAGAACTAACACCCCCAAAAGATGTCCTTCTTATTATAGGGGACTGGAATGCAAAAGTAGGAAGTCAAGAGATACCAGGCATAACAGGCAAATTTGGCCTTGGAGTACAAAAGGAAGCAGGTCAAAGGCTAACAGAATTTTACCAAGAGAACACACTGGTCATAGCAAACACCCTCTTCAAACAACACAAGAGAGGACTCTACAAATGGACATCACCAGATGGTCAATACCAAAATCAGATTGATTATATTCTTTGCAGCCAAAGATGGAGAAGCTCTATACAGTCAGCAAAAACAGGACTGGGAGCAGACAGTGGCTCAGATCATGAACTGTTTATTGCCAAATTCATACTTAAATTGAAGAAAGTAGGGAAAACCACTAGACCATTCAGGTATGACCTAAATCAAATCCCTTATGATTATACAGTGGAAGTGACAAATAGATTCAAGGGATTAGATCTGATAGACAGAGTGCCTGAAGAACTATGGACAGAGGTTCATGACATTGTACAGGAGGCAGGGATCAAGACCATCCTCAAGAAAAAGAAATGCAAAAAGGCAAAATGGTTGTCTGAGGAGGCCTTACAATAGCTGAGAAAAGAAAAGACACAAAAGGCAAAGGACAAAAGGAAAGATATACCCATTTGAACGCAAAGTTCCAAAGAATAGCAAGGAGAGATTAGAAAGCCTTCCTCAGTGATCAATTCAAAGAAATAGAGGGAAACAATAGAATGGGAAAGACTAGAGATCTCTTCAAGAAAATTAGAGATACCACGAGAACATTTCATGCAAAGATGGGCACAATAAACAACAGAAATGGTATGGATCTAAAAGAAACAGAAGATATTAAGAAGAGGTGGCAAGAATGCACAGAAGAACTATACAAAAAAGACCTTCATGACCCAGATAACCATGGTGTGATCACTCACCGAGAGCCAGACATCATGGAATGCCAAGTCAAGCGGTCCTTAGGAAGCATCACTGCGAACAAAGCTAGTGGAGGTGATGGAATTCCAGTTGAACTATTTCAAATCCTGAAAGATGATGCTGTGAAAGTGCTGCACTGAATATGCCAGCAAATTTGGAAAACTCAGCAGTGGCCACAGGACTGGAAAAGGTTGGTTTTCACACCAATCCCAAAGAAAGGCAATGCCAAAGAATGCACAAACTACCACACAGTTGCACTCATCTCACATGCTAGCAAAGTAATGCTCAAAATTCTCCAAGTCAGGCTTCAACAGTATGTGAACTGTGAACTTCCAGACGTTCAAGCTGGATTTAGAAAAGGCAGAGGAATCAGAGATCAAATTGCCAACATCCGTTGGAAATTCAAAAAAGGGAGAGAGTTTCAGAAAAACATCTACTTTTTTATCGACTATGCCAAAGCCTTTGACTCTGTGGATCACAACAAACTATGGAAAATTCTTCAAGAGATAGGGATACCAGACCACCTGTCCTGCCTCCTGAGAAATCTGTATGCAGGTCAAGAAGCAACAGTTAGAACTGGACATGGAACAACAGACGGGTTCCAAATAGGGAAGGAAGTATGTCAAGGCTATATATTGTCACCCTGCCTATTTAACTTATATACAAAGTACATCATGAGAAACTCTGGGCTGGAAGAAGCACAAGCTGGAATCAAGATTGCTGGGAGAAATATCAATAACCTCAGATATGCAGATGACACCACCCTCATGGCAGAAATCAAAGAAGAACTAAAGAGCCTCTTGATGAAAGTAAAAGAGGAGAGTGAAAAAGTTGGCTTAAAGCTCAACATTCAGAAAACTAAGATCATGGCATCTGGTCCCATCACTTCATGGTAAATAGATGGGGAAACAGTGGCAACAGTGGCAGATTTTTATTTTTTGGCTCTAAAATCACTGCAGATGGTGACTGCATCCATGAAATTAAAAGACACTTGCTCCTTGGAAGGAAAGTTATGACCAACCTAGATAGTCTATTAAAAAGCAGAGACATTACTTTGCCAACAAAGGTCCATCTAGTCAAATCTATGGTTTTTCCAGTAGTCACATATGGATATAAGAGTTGGACATAAAGAAAGTTGAGCACTGAAGAATTGATGCTTTTAAACTGTGGTATTGAAGAAGACTCTTGAGAGTCCCTTGGACTGCAAGATCCAACCAGTCCATCCTAAAGGAAATCAGTCCTGAATATTCATTGGAAGGACTGATGCTGAAACTGAAACTCCAATACTTTGGCCTTGGCCACCTGATGTGAAGAACTGAGTCATTGGAAAAGACCCTGATGCTAGGAAAGATTGAAGGCAGGAGGAGAAGGGGACTATAGAGGATGAGATTATTAGTGGCATCACCAACTCTGTGAACGTGAGTTTGAATAAGCTCCAGGAGTTGGTAATGGACAGGGAAGCCTGGCATGCTGTAGCCCATGGCGTTGCAAAGAGTCGGATACGACTGAGTGACTGAACTGATAATTTGTAAAGGTGGAGTCAAACGAGAGCAGGTTTTCAAGTGAGGATGCAGCAGGACCTGAGGACAGAGGCTAAAAATCAGTGACACTATCAGGAGTCAGTAGGTGGTCTAGCGTGGATGGGGCATAGAAAGGATGGGGAGACATAGAGGAGGTGAGCCCAGAAAAGAGCATGGAGACAAAATGGGAAGGCTGAGAACATATCCCAAGGCAGCATTTCTCAGAGTATAATTCAGGCATCTGAATCAAGGATGCTTGTAAAAAGAGCACCTTCTTGGGGCCATTCCATAACCATCACACCTGAATCTCTGGAAGGGGCCTGGTAATATGCATTTAAAGCCAGCATCCCCTGTGATCCCTCTGAACATTAATGTTTGAGAACCACATTAAAGACTTTGCCTTATCGCAGGCAACAAGCAGGGAAAACGTGAAACAGAACAGTGGCAAAATATGCTCTGAGTTATGGGATAGCAATTCTGTTAGAAGAATGAAAGATAAAACGAAAAGGCAGAGATTGAGAGGTGGGTACCTCTGACCCTGGACCAGGTAAGAACTGCTGAGGGTTTAAAGAGGCACTGACAGGACTTACGGGTTGATAGGATATCAAATGTCAAGAGAGGAAGAAGGAAGGGAGCAGTCTTCCAGCCAGGCTGCCAGGAAGAATGATCATTTGACTAAGACAGGAGAGTCGAGGGGAAGAAGCAAGCTGTGGAGTAAGGGTCATCTGTAAATTAACTTCAAAAGATGGCTTTTGCTGTGCTGTCATGAATCCAAATGTAGACAGCCTGCCAGCTGGTGTTCTGGTCTGGTGCTCCAGGTGCAAGGAGCACATGTGGGTCCTGGCCCAGAGGAAAGCCACAGGTGTGCACAGATCAGAGCAAGAGGACGATGATCTCATGCACCTAGAACACATCTTGCAAAGTGCTACCTTGAAAAATAAAGTAGTCTTCTGTGTGAAAAGGATCTGAGTGATCTCACCGAAGTGGACTTATTCCTCTCCAGGAGGGGTTTGTGGTCATGAAGGCACAGTAAAAATTATCTAACATTTTTGTCAGCTTAGGAAATATAAATGCCCTGTTCAAGTTCATTCTATTGAGTTCTGAATTTCTTCCATCATGCTGATGCTGCCTGGATTGGAATGAATTAATTATTGGTGGTACTAAAAAAAGGAAAGCTAGCACCTCTTAATTAGGCTCTTTTTTTGAGGGAGGGCTTTGCCTAAGTGTAGGATAAGAGGAAGATTAGGAAAATCTTCCGAATGTGGACTTCATATCACTGTTTTCTTAAGTTTGTATAAAAACACATTTTTGTTTATCCTGGGCTACTCCTCCATCTCACACCTATAACCCAAATCCACTTCTATCCTCCAAGGTCTGATTAGGAATTCCTCTGTGAGAAAGGAGTGAGCTATCTTTTATTTTTTGCCATAAAATGATAGCATTTTAGTTCTAATAGAGTGCTTTGTACTTTGTAGGCACTTAATAAATATTTGTGGGCTTGGTTTATGATGCTCATTATTAGATTAAATAATCTTATTCATAAGTGTTTTTCAAATTACTCTTACTGAACTATTTTTCTCAGTCCTTTCTGGATCTCAAAACATGGTATAAAGAATGGGGGAGAAGCTGATTAAGAAACGGATTTCCATTTTTTAGACTTCAGATCAGGAGGAGGAGATCTCTACCCTATTTGTAATGTCACAGACAATTTTAAACTCCAGTGATGTCCTACTTTGTGGGCAGCAATGAATTAATAGCAAGAAAGGTGATTTTCAAAAGATCTACAAAATATATATATTTGAATGGAAAAATGTACATGAGCTCTCTGAATATTTTTCAATGAGCCTAATCCTCTTTCTAGACATTTCTGTTTGCTTCATTTGTTCTAGAAGTCATAAATTCTTAAGGGATAATAAGTATGTTCATTTCTTTGTTTAGTTATAACTAATTAATACTATTTTATCTTTCCAGACATTTCTGTTTTCTTCATTTTTTTTTCTAGAAGTCATAAATTCTTAAGGGATAAGCATGTTCATTCCTTTGTTTAGTTATAGCTAATTAATATTATTTCAGTCAGTTCATTATTCATTCAGCAAACTTCAACTGAGAATTAATTGTACTCCAGCTGTCAGAGATATGATCTGTGAGTTTAAGGGGCCATGGAAAACTCATTTACTCCCAAACACACACATATATGAAATCACCCAAAGAAAACAGGCAGGGAAATCAGAGTAGGCTAAACTCATACCAAGCCCACTGTCTGATTTTAATTTGTTTTCAAGATAGTGCTGGTTTTCTTAATTGATTTTGAATATCAGTCTACAGGATTCTGATTGCTACTAGTGAAAAAGCAGTCTCACTAGTCAATTTGTAATCTTGAAGAAGCAATCATATTTTTCCTAGTAGACAATGCTACTTACAGTTCTCCTAAATTTTTTAATGAAGAAAATGTCTTCTCTGGAACAAAACCAATTTGATTTCTAGGCAGAAACCTGTAAGACATGGTGAGAGTCAGCACTGTTGGTCTGAGTCTGCTGTAGTTATCAGTTCTCATTGGGAGATGCCATTGATCTGGCTGTCATTTAATAAACCTCAAGGCGAGGCATGTTATGGGTGGGACACAGGCGGCAGTTTCTCACTGACAGGGTCTCCACATGCTCGCTGGCTCCAGGACATGCTGCCACAAGGAACTTGAGGCGCCAAGCGTGGGCTACAGAGCTGTACTTTGTTTGGATTCTGATTATTTTGGAAAGTTTTTCCTTTTCCCAACATATGCACATGGAATGTCAAATTTGGGCCCTGTTAATGATTCTTAGAGAAGGCTTCAAGAGGATCTTTGAGCAAGGCACCTTCCTTAGAAGAAGAAGGCCAGAAAGAGCAAAGCGCGAACCAATCCCATTTGGGCCACAAATGAATTTTAAGTTGGGGGTAGGGGAACAGTGGTTTTACATTTCCTCTGTTTGAAATGGAATCCTCCAGGACGAATGGCAAAAAAGAGGGGGTTGGCGACTGACCGCCTTACAGAGGTGTTAACAAATGAGATAATGAGTGTGAAAATGAAGTCTCTCAGTTGTGTCTGACTCTTTGCGACCCCATGGACTGTAGCCTACAGCGCTCTCCGTCCATGGCAAGAGTACTGGAGTGGCTTGCCATTTCCTTCTCCAGAGGATCTTCCCAACCCAGGGATCAAACCTGGGTCTTCCGCATTGTAGGCAGACGCTTTACCATCTGAGCCACCAGGGAAGTCACCAGATGAGTACAAAGGTGACTGAAAAGCTACATGGAGCTATGAAATAGAAGGTGTGGGTGTCATTCATTTAGTTTTCCAGCGCGCTCTCTCATTATCCATCTCCTATATGGGATACCCTCTTTCCTTACTGAGTATGCTAATCTTCAATCTGATTGATTAATTTGCAACCTGGCGAAAGTTTTGTCTCTTAGTCTGTTGGAGAAAAGTGGTTGGACTACCACAAATGGATATACAATGATTTTTCTTTTCCAACTACCCATCCAAGCAACAAACATTACTAAGCACTAACTATATATGGAGAACTGTGATGAAAGCAAAAGCACATTTTTGTGTTTTTAAGCTTACCACACAAATGTGCCAATTAACCAATCCACCTGCCTTCCTGCCCTCATAAAAAACACAAAACAGCAATCAGAATCTTTGACGAACCAGAACATGTTAGAAATTATTCTCTTTAGACTAAACTTTTTTTTCTTTAAAGAGAGAGATATTAAGTGATGTGTCACTGGCAGCAACACTAACCACTTTCACACACATTATCTCATTTCCTTGGTGACCATGGTACCAGGTCAGCTGGGAGAGTGCACAGAAATAATGACTGCCCTCAGAAAGAAGGAAACTTAAATGGTTGGCAGCTAATCATAAGGCTTGGCCCCACCATCCATGTGTGCATTTTCCAGTACTGTAGTTTCAGACCAAGCCTGTAAATGAAACATACTTTGAAATTCCTTGTCAATGTTTTCTTTTGATTTCCAAAGCTGATAGACTTCCCCTCATTCACCGTTGTATACTTACAGCACTGTGAGAGAACTGCACGACAGGAAGGTGGAATTCGTGAGGAATTTTATCCTATTGCCTTCCAAATCCCTAAAAGGCATGGAGGGAAATTTTTTTTTCAGTTTCTGCACAAATCATACATTTAAAGCCATTTGTCGGTGATGTGACAGTTTCAAACTTTATTTTTACTTCATTCCAATTTTTTAGGCTTTCCTCCTGATTATTGCATGGTCGGTATAATTAATATTCTGCTTCTTTTCCCCTTCTAATTAATGTTAGAACTTAAAAAAAAAACTGAGCAGAAGGGCAGCCCACTCTTTAGTGAATGTTTCTCTGTGTTGGATATTATGCTATTAATTCTCATAATGCTGCCACCATAATAGTAGCAACTCCATTTATTGGACTTTCACAGTGTCAGGTGCTGTTCTGCATGCATAATACACCCTCCTGAGAAGCTGGCGTTACTACCTCCCACTTGAGGTAATAATTTGAGGAATCTGAGGACTTTGGAAATTCACTTTTCTTGTGGTCGCACAGCTACTGAGTGGTAGAACTGACCCTCTAACTCACATCTGCCTGAATCGGATTCCTAGACACTTAGCCATGGCATCACAGATGGTTAAATTCTCATGTCCTCCCAACATCAGGTGGATATTTGTGTCTCCGTTTTGCTGAAGGAGAAACTCAGGCTAGTTTGCCTTCCAAATACTGGATGCCAGGGTCAGGATGCTAACCCCAAGCCATGTGATAGAAAATATCCGTTCTTTCTACCTCCTTCTGTGGTGCTGACGCTGAAAGCAGTGCTGCTCCAAGGGTGCCCGGGACCAAGCCTCAGCATCACATGGGAGCTTGTTAAAAGTTCAGATTCCCAGGCTCTACCCAGACCTACTAAATCAGACACCCTAGGACTGAGGTCCAGCCGTCTGTCTGAAGTCCCTGATTAGTGATGCCTGTTGACGCTGGAGTAGCACTCGGGGAGAGATTACGCACTGCCGGGTGAGCCTTCAGCACTCACGTCGTCAGGGAACAACCTCGGGAACACTCTGACATGACCGCTTCCAGCAGTGCCAAGGAATGAGACGGTCGGCTGTTCTGCCAAGTCTCCTAATTCCTTTTATGACCGGCGTCCTACAGTCTTCCAGGTCAAGACAGTAGCTATATTGCTGCCTCTGAACCTTCCTCACACTCACACTAAAATGACCAATTCCTTTGTATTGCCTTTAAAATCCTATTTTACTTTTTGCACCTTAGAACATCTGATGTTTAATGTTTCAAATGTCTACTACATTGTCATTAATTAACTTACCCTTAATATAAATTCCTATTTTAAACCATCTTGGAGGATTTGCGGGAACTCAACTTTTTTTTCACTCTGAAAATACAGTGATTACAAATAAACACTGTGGTCCCTTGAAAGTCCAAATGTGACTTCCCTCGTGGCACAGTGGATAAGAATCCTCCAGCCAATGCAGGAGACATGGGTTCAATCCCTGATCCGAGAAGATCCCACATGCTGTGTAACAACTAAGTCCATGCACCGCAACCAGTGAGCCTGTTCTCTGGAGCCCGAGCTCCACATGAGAGAGGCCACTGCCACGAGAGGAGTCCCCTGCATGCTGCAACCAGAGAAAGTCCGAGTGCAGTGCCAAAGATCCAGCACAACCAAGTAAATAAAACTGTATATAAAACAGGTTTAAGACAAGAAGGGACATGACCAGATTTTGGTTTTAGAAAGAAAAGCACAGATGAGCTCTCTGTGTAATTGTGAATTAACTTTAGGGCTAGCTTTCTGAATCTGGACGTTTAACAAATCAGCCACTAAGCTTGTACTCACATCCAGTTGAGCTGAGGCATTTGGGCGCACATCTGCTTGGGTAGGACTTGTAAGTGGTTGTTCACCATGGACCTTTACACGCAGAAGAGGTTGATTAGAAACAAAATGACATGCCACTTTAGGGACAGTGTTTTCACTATTTCCACAACTGGGAAACTTGCATGTTAAAATCAATACACTAGGATGAAAACCATAAACATAACTACCCCTTCAAAATGGTCTCTAGATACACATGTGGCATGGATAAGGAAGCAGATGTCAGAGAAACTATAAATGTATAAGTGTGATACATAACCTAGGGATAAATTTGAAACAGTATGACTTTGTGAGATGAAACAAAAGTATATTGGGTAGTCCTTTTGAAGTCCATGGTAACTTTTCTTGTAAACTTCAAAGTTAGGATCATTTCCAGCATCATACATCCAAAGTTTCGCCTTAAGAGAAACGCTAATCATTTATGACATTAAAAGTTCACATTGGAAACTGCATTAAATCTAAGAAGTGATGACAGTGGGGAGGGGGGACATTTGGGGAAGAAGACAACTCATGAGAACATTAAGTTGCACGATTAATTTATGATATTGTGATATCCCATTTCACAAATGGAAATTTATGGTATCCCTTTTCACAAATGGAAAATTAACAATGCTATATGATCAGCTGTAAAGGAACATAATAATCCCTTGCTGATAAACCATCCCAGTCTATTACTAAACATCGAAAATGTAATGCTGAGAAAAGTTTAGTTGCTAAGACAAAGATTTTGGAATTTTCAGTGACTCATGCTGGGCAAAGGCACATTTTCCTTTGTTAAAAAAATGTAGTTGGAGCTGAACACTGGGGAGATTCTGACAGATTTAAATGTAGTAAGAAGATAAAAATGAATACTATCTTTGGTCAACCACGGCAAATAAAAACATGCCTTAAAACTAAAAGGAATGAAAGGAGATCAAAAGGAAATGAACTGGTAGGCTTAAAATATGCCATGAGCCATGGCCAGGAAGTAGCAACAGTAATTGTGGCTTGAAATACAGGAAATGTTTTGACAAATAGAAATCTTAGAGGCTTGATTTTCTTAAAGCTCTTTTTTGTAAGCTAGTTTTAGATGTCATTGCAATTCATAGACAGATGGATTGAAAGGTAGATGAATACTTACAGGAAAAACAAGGAATTTAATCCAGTAAACAACCGCTGTGAAATTCTGTTTATGGGATTGTCATCTAGAATTCTGACAAAACATATCACAAACATTTCCAATGTTAGAGACGTTTGTGAAATACAACCAGGAAGAAATAAAAGGTCATGTCAATCCTGCCTCCCCCAACACCTGCTCTCCTCCTTCCTGTCTGTCCACACTTGGCTCATGCCTCTTCCCAGAGAGCTTTTCCTCCCCACTGTGGTTGGAGAAGCACTTTCCTCCAAGCCCCCACCTCCCCCAGCACTTATCAAGTCCATCCTGGTGGTCTTCATTCCCTTCATCCACCTCCCATTGGACTTAAGACCCTCCGCCTCTAGATACATGGGTCCCAACAAGCTGTACTTATTTATTGATTTATTGGCTGATTATGGGCTCCATAAATGCTTTGACCTACTGGTTGATTGAATGAAGAATGAATGAAAAAAAAATTCTTTGGAAGAATTCCTTAGTCTCATGGAATTTAAATGAATGCAAACAAACATATTGGGAGCTTTGAGGGTGAAAGAGTGAAAAGATTTACAAATTCAAATCACTGTTTTAAACTCTATATGGTATTTTCCTAGGAAAAAAATCACCATAAGGGGAAATATGATTTCTTTTCTCTTGTTGCCTTCAAAGCCAGGTACAATTTCCCTTACTCTCGGAGGAATCTGAAGGTAGGATTCTGAGAAGGAAGCTCACTGAACACCTACTATATGACAAGCATTCTGCGTATGGCACTTTACATATATAATTCTCACAACATCCCTCTTAGAAAAAAGGAATTATGATTATAGTTTACACTGCTATATTTAAGGGGCTTCCCTGGTGGCTCAGTGGTAAAGAATCCTGTTTCAATGCAGGAGATGCAGGTTTGATCCCTGGGCCAGGAAGATCCCCTGGAGGAGGACATGGCAACACACTCCAGTATTCTTGCCTGGGGAGTCCCATGGACAGAGGAGCATGGGAGGCTATAGTCAATACAGTCACTGTATTTAAAATGGATAACCAACAAGGACCTACTGTATAGCACAGGGAACTCTGCTCAATGTTGTGAGTCAGCCTGGATGGGAGGGGAGTTTGGGGAAGAATGGATACCTGTATATGTATGACTGAGTCCCTTCTCTGTTCACTGAAACCATCACAACATTGTTAATTGGCTATACTCTAGTACAAAATAAAAAGTTTAATCAAAAAAGTGGCATTAGGAAAAAAAATAAAGATGAGGAAAAAGAGGCCCAGGAGATTAAGAAAATTGCCTGAAACATAAAGCACAGGACTATGGCATATACAAGGGTCTGGATGAAGCTGAAGTCCTGGCTTTTCCTCTGGACCAGGCTGACCTAGAGAAAACAGGAAAACTGACACATCCTTCTAACTGCCCTTTGTTCATCTTCCCTGATGAAAACTGATAAAAGACTCCCTGGGATGGAGTTGGTGGCTCAGCCAGGTAAGTGATGAAATGCTACAAGCGCTCATGTTTTCAGTTGTTTCTATACATTTTCTAGAAATCAAAAAAGTCCTCAACTTGTTTACTTTCTAGGTCAGTGGTTTTCAACAGAGGGCACTCTTTCTCCCAAGGGACATTTGGGATGGTCTGGAAACATTTTTGATTGGCACAACTCTGGGAGCCAGTACTGTTGACATCTAGTGGGGCAGAGACCACAGAGGGTGCTAAACATCCTAAAACACACAGGACTACCCCCACCCCTCTATCCCTCTTCCACCCTGCTCCTCCCCCAACCCCACCCTCCCGACCCAATCAAAGAATTGTCTGAGCCAGAAGGCCGACAGAGAGCTGGGTTGAGAACCCTGTTGCAGGTAACACTGGATGGATGGATGACTTGGCAAGCCTACTGCTGGGTGCAGAGGCCCACCTGAGAAAGCATAGCACTGAGGTCTCTTCACACAGCTACCATTTGGCGTGCCATGATCTGAACTGCCGGAGCAACGTGCTCCAGATTATGTGACAAGCAGAAAAGTTGGTATGATAAGCAAGATACATAAATAGATGGAAACTATGAGCCTTGATGAGTATCATTAGGACTGTGATCCCAGAGAAGGAAGAGCTAGAATACTTACAGCCAAGTCAGCTGATGTAAGTCTTTGAAGACTCCAGGTCTGAGAGTTGTGATGCAGTTGTGGTTGAGATATCTGCAAATAGCATGGGTGAGTCAATGAGGCAAACTTAATACTCCACTTTAGTCACATATAATTAGAATACGAGCCTCTGTTAACGATTACGAAGTATGGACACCTGTCTCAGACAGCACTCAACTGGATGGGCAAGGGGAGAAAACCAAGGACAACCAGGAGATACAGATGACCCCAAGCCCAGTGTGACAAGCACCAGGGCCAGCTCCAGGAAAGTGGCTGAAAATAAAGCACTGGGGTATTATATGACCTTAGTGTGTAACAGTAGAATAAACATGTGAGGTGATTTTTTCTTTAGCTCACCTCCTTTGTAGACTATTGTTTTAAGAAAGTATGCACTAAGTCGTGTCTGACTCTTTGTGACCCCCATGGACTGTAGCCCACCAGACTCCTCTGTCCATGGGATTTCCCAGGCAAGAATACTGGAGTGGGTTGCCTTTTCCTCCTCCAGGGGATCTTCCCGACCCAGGGATCAAACCTACATCTCCTGCATTGCAGCAGGATTCTTTACTGCTGAGCCACCAGGGAAGCCCCATAAAGGTGAAGTTAGCAAGGGTTAGAAAAAATATGATAAAATATTATAGAAATGACCCAAACTTGAGGAGACAAGATTAAAGATAGCCTTCATATCTATCTTCTGGTAAAACTAGGAGTTGTTTTTTTTTAGTAATTCTTTCAGTGTAACAACTATTCTGGGTACTTTCTGAAAACCTGTTGCTCCCTCTTCTCTACATCCACAGCTGAGCCTTTAACAAAATACCATTCTATCCTTTTAATCTTTACATAAAGTTGTACTCAAGATATAATTATGAAAAAAGTTACTCACAGTATTTGCAGATTATGTAATCCAAAGAATGCTTTTCTGGATATATATGTAATACAGTTATGCTGGAGGAATCTGGTAGGAATGAGATAGGAGAGTCATGCGATTAGGGTGCTCATACTTTGTTAGGTTGTTGAGTGTGCTGTCCAGTTTGTTCACCTAAAGATGACTTGTGAAACCAGCTCATAAAGTCCTAAGTCCTAGTCTCACATTGGGAGGTAGGAGCATGGCCCCTGAGAGAAGGCTGTGGATCTAGCCAATGCCTGATATTCTGAGAGTGCCCATGCAGTGAGATGCTGGCATGTCTGACTTGAATCCACCAAAGTCTGTGCATTGTGTGTAAGCAAGGAGCCAGTCTTGTTTCTGCAAGCTGGAGTTGCCCATCATGTGAGATTAGCCAGGTTCTCACTGCTCAGCTTCCTCACTCTTTCAGTACCAGCGTTTCACCTTCAATTCGTTTCTCTTCTTTCTACTCATATGAAAAAAACGTCAGAGCAAGTCTTACTTTGATCTGTTTCAAGATGCAGAGTGAGAAGCACACAGCAATTTAGAGAGGTGTTCAAGGTCACAAGTGGCTAAACTGGGACCAGTGCACCAAGGTTAGCTCACAGGGTCATGATCTACTTAACCTCAATCTAGCAAGAGTGTATGGATTTGATAATAGCACTTCCATAAGCTTGTTGCTTGTTTTAGTTTCTAAGTCAGGTCTGACTCTTTTGTGACCCCATAGATGGTAGATCATCAGGCTCCTCTGTGCATGGGATTTCCCAGGCAAGAATACTGGAGTGGGTTGCCATTTCCTTCTCCAGGGGATCTTCCCAGACCTAGGGACTGAACTCTCTTCTTCTGTCTTGGCAGGTGGATTCTTTCCTGCTGAGCCACCTGGGAAGCCCTCTTTCAGGAGTATCTAAGTAAATAATTTCTATTTCCTGTGCTCATTATACAATGGGAGGTTAGCCCTGAATTCACATTTTATAAAGATCTTTAGGCAGGAAATCACTCTATTAATAGTAACTAATGTCTGTATAACCTTCTGAGTAGCTTCCCTATCTCTTGTTTTGATTTGTTTTGGTTCCTGAGGTTTGGTTTTGTTTGTTTTGCCATGTGGCTTGCAGGATTGAACCCGTGCCCCCGTCAATGGAAGCTTAAGTGTCCTAACCACTGGATGGCCAGGGAATTCCTGGTTCCTAAAATATTTTACAACACTTTCTTATTGTTATGCTACTTCACTGCAAAACTCTGGGTAGATTGTGGCCTCATTCATTTGGCATTTGGCTCTACTCTGAATTTTGTTATGCCACGATTATTCCTCATCAGAGCTTCCCAGCCTTTGGGTCATGAATGTTACAGGTGTGCAGGCAGGTTGATGCCTTCAGCCCTCAAGGTGGCAAAGTAAAGCCAAGATTAGCTTTCAGTTATTAACAAACCCATCTTTTACCCCCAGAATCAAACAAATATTGTCATTTTCTCTGTGTATCACAATGTGGAAAATGTGGGTGTCACGGAGCACAAGCATTACAACTACAGTGGCCTGCAAAGCATCAATTTCAATGCTACAAAGTGAACGTGAAATCCAGTAAGAACTTGTTCCATTCCATTCCTCCGTCTCTGATACATGTCTATGAGGAGATGCTTCACGTTGTAGCATAAATTCTGCTTTTGCTTTAGAGTTCTAAAACAGAAGAGATCAATATCTATTTTAGCATTTTCAGAGCCCCTGGAGTGATGTCATTAAAGTTAATGTGCTGAATTGTATTACAATAGCAAGTGAAAATGGAGAAAGTATACAGTAATATGTATATTTGAAGTTTCTCTTAAATATTAAGAGAAAGTAAATATAAAATTTACTACCTAACTATTGCTATTTCTGCGACATTTCACTCAAGATAATTAAGTCAAAAGTACACTACTGTTCATTTTACCTACACATGGTTAATCTTGAAGAGATGGGGGCAGTCATACATTGTGAATTTGACCTTGTGCTTTTGATCTGCGTGACTCACCTGATGTGTTCAGTCTATCTGCCTTCACTGACATGAGTTAAGATTCCCAATTTCTTAAATAATAAACAGCCTCTAATCTTCTATTTAGTCAATTTGCTGGCACCCCAGGGAGAACTAGAGTCCCAGGTCCCTTGTCTCAGACTTAGGCTGCTGAATTTTAGCTCGATCCTCCAGTATCTGCTTTCTTTTTTATACAATAGTAACTTAGTGAATGTGAGGGGGAAATATGGAAATGTTACAATTTGGCAAGTGATATCCTCTTTTTATTCAGAGCTGAGATATGAGCCTGTCTGATATACTTTATATTGAGCAACTTTTCTAAGAATAACTTACTGGTTCATGAATTCCTGCTGTTTCAGCTGTCAGGACTTTTCAAGCAGAAACACCAGGAATTTATGTACCTGAAACTAAAGCAAATAAATGCTTTAATAACATGCATGTTTATAGGCTATTTTTTAAATGCCACATTTTGTATTCATGAACCAGGCAGACTCCTTGAATTACATTGTGTTGCCAATGATTGCACTGGACAAGAGGCCAGTTTAAGAGGGAAGTCCAGTTTATGTGAAATTTATGTCCCAGTGAGGAGAGGAACTGCTGTTGGTTTCCGTGGTAGTAGTCATAAAGTATTATGGTCAAGCTCATACATGGTATTTTGTTTCTCTTAATGTTCATCTTAAATTGTTTCTTATCACCCAGAGTTACAAAGTTTAACAAATTATTAAAATGAATAAACTGATCACTACTACAAGGATTCAGGTAAGTTGAGTGACATCTGTTCATCTAACAATTAGTTTTTTTTAAATTTTGACTTAGAAATTTATTTTTCTGGATGCCTCAATGACCTCAGTTTCACTGTGAATATTTAGAGCATGCAAGACCAGAGACCCACTTGACATTAAATTAGGTGACTCCCTAGGATATATCCCAATACAACTTAAAAATGCATACCAGATTTATTAGCTCAATACAACTGAAAGTGTGTATCAATGAATGTCTTTCCCTGGGCCAAACAGAATAAAGCCCTGATTCTTCTAGCCTGGCATTCAAAGGCCCTCTTTTAGACAAACTTGCCCAGTCACTCTCTTCCTAATAGCCTTTGAGTTTTTCTCATGTTTTTGGGTCCTCCTTGCTGAAGATGCTCCTTACCTTCTCTTTCACCCTCTGTGTTAGTCCTACACATCATTCCTTCAACAAATACTCATTGACCCTTCTGTATGTTTCAATGCAGTTGACAATGAGGGGTAGGGGCAGTGGTGGTACATGGTACTGTGAGGGAACCAGAAGGATCATCCAGCTCAGGAGGAGGTTGTGATGGTCAGTGAGGGCTTCCTTCAAAATCCAAGGATGAATGTTGCTGCTGCTGCTATTGCTAAGTCGCTTCAGTTGTGTCCGACTCTGTGCGACCCCATAGACAGCAGCCCACCAGGCTCCGCCGTCCCTGGGATTCTCCAGGGAAGAACACCAGAGTGGGTTGCCAAAGGATGAATGTTAGGGGTTCATAAAAATGGAATCATAATGGAAAGAATGACCTAAGGCTTATTCAAAACTCAGACGGTGAAGACTACTGTGAGAAATAGGGATGAATTTCTAGTTATATTTTGGAAACAAGAAAAATGTTTACAGAGAAGCCCAAGCCTGTGGTATGGGACCTGTTTTACAATATGGTGAAATACTAAGAAAATATAAATTCTCACCTCTTACATTGTTCTTGTCTTCTTGGTAAAAAAAGATGATCTCAGAACTGAAGTGAATAAATAGGATACAAGGTTGTGGCAGTGAAAGCCCAAGAGGATAGAATATGTTAACCAAAATGAGTTAAAACCCGCTGGTTTGGACAATTTCTCCTAGAAACTGAGAAAACACTGAAAATGTGAACACTCAGTCATAATCAATGACTCAGGAATCTGGAAAAAGAGAAGAGAAGCTTGAAAATAGGGAAGTAGATTTCACAAGCTATTGCTGGATGAGCTTGAAGTTGATTTTAGGTGAGATCACAGGACAGGACCTTGTGATGGGGGCTTGTGAGCACCTCAGAAAGAACAGGAACAGGGAAGTTCACAAGAAACAGGACATGTCAGATCAACTTGATTTTCTTCTTTGAAAGACTGATCAGATAAAAATGTGGTTGACTTTGCTTATATGTCTACCAGGCAGTGATCAAGCAATTTTATAGACAAAATAAAGAACAAGACACGTTGTCTGATGGATGATGATGATGATGATGAAGGGATCTGGAAAGAAGATCTTGAAGCATCCTGCTTGGTATTCTACTTCATGACTTAGGTGAAGATGGCTCATCTTATTTTCAGATGATAGAATGTTGGGATGAATAGTAAATCTGCTGGGATGAGCCAAAAAAGATCTTCACAGTCTGGTAAGAAAAGTTGAATCTGACAGAATGAAACTGAACCGGGATAAATTTGAAGTCCCACAACTAGCTCTCAGGTGCTAAGTGCACAAGTACAGGATGGAGAAGCCGTCACTTGTTCAGTTAACGCATGTGGCATGGGATTAGGAATTTTAGGGACACAATCAGTAGGAGTTAAAGAGCATGAAGCAGCCACAAGAAGAACAAATGTAACCTTAGGGCATATGCAGTTTAGAAAAGAAGGGCTGCTAGCTTTCCCCATTCTGCCCTTGTAGGTGTCATACAGGTGATAATATTACATTTATTCCAAATACTATTTGTAAGGAATGTGTAACTGATCATATACAGAGTGATGAACAGATTTGAAATCAGGTCCTTAGGGGAAGAAGTTAAAAATTCGAGGCTGCTTGGGGGAGAGACCTTTGGTGGGGGGCATGGTGATAATGGCTAGCTTTGAATATCAGGGGAATTAGGTAGGAGAGTGTGTGTTCTAATCAGTCTCATGGTGTAACTCTTAAAATCACAAAATTTACAGGTACTTTGGGCAGTAGTAGAGTTAACATCTCTGCATAGTACATCATATGAAATGCCAGGCTGGATGAATTACAAGCTGGAATCAATATTACTGGGAGAAATATCAACAACAACCTCAAATATGCAGATGATACCACCCTAATGGCAGAAAGTGAAGAGGAACTAAAGAGCCTCTTAATGAGGGTGCAAGAGGAGAGTGAAAAAGCTGGCTTAAAACTCAACATTCAAAAAACTAAGATCATGGCATCCGGTTCCATCACTTCATGGCAAATAGATGGAGAAAAGTGCAAACAGTGACAGATTTTATTTTCTTGGAATCCAGAATCACTGCAGACAGTGACAGCAACCACAAAAGCAAAAGATGCTTGCTCTGGGAGAAAAGCTATGACAAACCTAGACAGCATATTAAAAAGCAAAGACATCACTTTGCTGACAAAGGTCTGTCTAGACAAAGCTATAGTTTTTCCAGTAGTCATGTACAGATATGAGATTTGGACCATAAAGAAGGTTGAGCACTGAGGAATTGATGCCTTCAAATTGTGGTGCTGGATAAGACTCTTGAGAGTTCCTTGGACAGCAAGGAGGTCAAACAAGTCAATCCTAAAGGAAATCAACTCCTAGTGTTCATTGGAAGGAATGATGCTAAATCTGAAGCTCCAATATTTGGCCGCTTGATGCGAAGAGGTGACTCGTTGGAAAAGATCCTGAAGCCGGGAAAGAATGAGGGCCGGAGAAGAAGGGGTTGACAGAGAATGAGATGTTGGATGGCATCACTGAATCAATGGACATGAGCTTGAGCAAACTCCAGGAGATAATGAGGGACAGGTAAGCCTGGTATGCTGCAGTCCATGGGGTCGTAAAGAGTCAGACATGACTTAACAACCAAACAACAACAATAATTACATGGCAGGACAATTTAATAGCATTCCTTCAGCACCTCCTAATTCTTTTTTTGGTTTATTTTTTCCCCCATAATCATTGTGTATTTAAAACACACTGCACTTTTATCTTTCTCCATTGAAAGTTGAGTTCCTTGAGGGAAGAACTTTTCAGATGTGTTGTTTACCACTATATCTTTGACACCTGATGGGTATCAGCGACTAGTCATTGAAAGAAAGCACTAAAATGTGAGTTTGGCTAGCATTTCCCCTCCTACTGTCTCTACTGACAGTTCTGGGCGTGTCCATCTAATTTCTTCCTTCCCTGGACACCTTTTCCTGGGGATGATTTATGTTTAGCTTCATTGGTTGTTTGAGTGTTGAAATGCAGGATTGGTAGAAAAAGGGACTGGACAGGACAGAGGACTGCCCGAGACTGTAGAGGTTTTTCTGGGAGTTTGAGGGAAGAGTGGCAGGAGGAGCTAAGAAGTAGAAAAAAAGAGATGGGAGGAAAGGATTTAAAGAAGAGTTGCTGAGCTTATGCAGAGAAGGCAATGGCAACCCACTCCAGCACTCTTGCCAGGAGAATCCCAGGGACGGTGGAGCCTGGTGGGCTGCCGTCTATGGGGTCGCACAGAGTCGGACACGACTGAAGCGACTTAGCAGCAGCAGCAGCTGAGCTTATAAATGGCTTTAGAATATTTGAATGATGCTTATGAAGAACTTCTGTTATTGTGCAACCGAAGTTCGGTTTCTGGGCGTTTTCACTGACAGTAACAACACATTGAGACTGGCCCATGTGGGTGGATTTCCAGGAGACCATAGTCAAAGGTTGGGTTTTAAAGCCAAATTCTAATACTTGTCAGCTGGTTGAAAGAAAGTGAAAGTGTTAGTCACTCAGTCATGTCCAGCTCTTCACAACCCTTGGACTTTAGCCCACCAGGCTCCTCTGTCCATGGGATTTCCCAGGCTAGAAAACTGGAGTGGGTAGCCATTCCCTTCTCCTACAGATCTTTGTGACCCAGGGATTTAACTTGGGTCTCCTGCATTGCAGGCAGATTCTTTTCTATCTGAGCCATCAGGGAAATGATCTTTCTTTTCCAAGGATGGTGTCCTCATTACTGAAAGGGATCTAATGCTGTTTATCTCACCTCATAGACTTTGGAGACAAAGTCCAAATGAGAATTCCAAATCCTGGAAGTCTTTTGTCAACTTTAAAAAATGATATTTAAATGTAAGGAATTGTGTTTTCTCTCCCATGCTGTACCCTGCATGTAAAAGACACTTGGTGAATGTTTATTGATAAGACTCTAATGATTCCTTTCTCTCTGGTTCTCTGGGAGAATCAAATTCACCTAGAAAGCATCAAAAAGCAGCTTGCATTAAGGGAACTCCTGATGGGTGATACTCAGGTTATGACGTGTTACCTAAGTTTTCTCAGAAAAAGCAGAATTAAACATTTAATTGGAGAGTTTTTCAGCTCATCTGGGCAACCTGGCAGGGCAAACAAAACAAAACAAAACAAAACTCAACTTTTTTTCACCAGGAAAAATTGGGACTTATATGTGCAAAGTTAGTGCTTCCATGTTCTTCCCTTCTGTGGGCTACCAGCTACTGAGGAAGAAGTACTGGCATAGAACAAAGCATACATCAGTGTTTCAGGGAAAGACTTGCCCTGAGAAGTCCTATCATAAACCTCTTTGCTTGATCTTCTAGTGAGCCTCACCAGAGGTGAGCTTCCCCTAAATTGGGGACCAAAAGTATAGAATGGAGTTCTGTGTGGGACAGAAGAGTATGTGTTGGTAGAAGATTCAATTAGGTGCTAGAACAATTTCTTTCCACCTCTAGGTTTCTGGTTATTGTGTTGTAAAATGAACAGTACATTGGGCATCAAAAGATATGGACTGTAATTCTGGTTCTTCTGCTAAGTAGCTGTAGATCTTAGGTAAGTCATTTCATTACTGCAAACTTCAGTTACCTTATAAATGATGATAAGATTTCATTAGAAATTCATAAGACTTCTATGACTCTAGATAATAGATTTAAACAGCACTCTAAAACACGAATATTTTTCCGTTAGTGCTATTTTATTTTTCTTCCCTTTAGCATTATTTAGGGAGCTCAAAGGCAATACTGATTCATAGAATGAACAGGTTGTGATTCTAAGCATTTCCAGTAAGACCAGAAGCAGTGTTGTTAAGATTTCTTCTCTAGAGGAATCTGGAACCCTAGAGTCAATGCACAGCTACCCCAGTGAAACAATGACAACGTGACCACATGGTATAGGATGGAACAGAAGGAGCTCACTGCAGATGGGAATCACAGAGGCTTCCATCAAACCCAGGCATGATTCGCCATGCTCACACAAGGTTCTTCTCATTAATGGACTTCCTTCAGGGACTTCCTTTCTTGTATGAGTGAGTCTATACCTAAAGACTCATGAGAACATAGAACTATTGATGCTACTTCAAACCAAGCACATTTGTCCAGTATCAGGAAAAAATCAGATTCTTTTTAGTCCTGAAATTTAACATATATCACATTTCTAGAAACCTTCTCTTCTATTCTGAATGTTAAAGGGCAAAAATTGTAAGATGATGATATGACCTTACAACATTGTCTTGCTAATTTTCTAATCTATTCTGACGATCATCTTGCAACTGTAGAAATTTGACCTCTCCATTATCCCCGAGTGAGGGACTCAGGCTCAGAGGGACTAACACACAGTAACCGAACTCTCAAGAGGTTGAATATTTAATCCCTTTATTTAAATCGGATGTATCCCATTCCACTAATTGGAATGATCTTATTCCCCATCCAAGGTAATTTCCCAAATACTTAAGTGTAAATAATTTAGGAAGTTAATGTAATCACCAAAAGGTTGATTGAAGAGCAGGGAATCAAAGCAAAGAGATTTTCCATCCTGATACGGACAGTGTTACAATAAAGTTCATGGGCATTACGGTGTAGGCTGACCGTCCCGCCTTGCCCCTCAGTGGAGACTATGTCTAGGGACTTTATCTCTCAGGTCCCAGTTTTCTTTCTTTGATGATACTGGAAGCATCTCAATGCTTTGTTCTGTGTTTGACTGTGTCCTATTTATTGTTTTCTTTCCTCAAATATGGGCTCCCCTGGTGGCTCAGCTGGTAAAGAACCCGCCTGCAATGCAGGAGACCTGTGTTCGATCCCTGGGTTGAGAAGATTCCCTGGAGAAGGGAAAGGCTATCCACTCCAGTATTCTGGCCTGGAGAATTCCATGCGCTGTATAGTCCATGGGGTCGCAAAGAGCTGGACATGACTGAGCGACTTTCACTCACTTCCTCAAATGTGTTGATTTCACTGATTTGACCAAGATCATGTTTTTGCTCTTTTTTATTCTGGAAGACAGTCCAGACCCCATCATGATGCATTTTAAATGATCTGATAGTTCCTGTCTCTGCCACCACTCTTCCAGGTTAAAAAGTGCATCTAGTGTCTCTGAATCTACAACATCATTTTCCAAATGCTCTGAAGTAAGAGCATGGAGTTATGTATATTCTTACTGAGATGCTTGATTGCAATGCCAATTTAACTCTCTAAAAGAAAGGTTAAATAAAACCAGTTGTTAGTTTAAATAATGAAATGGAAAGAAAGCATACTTTTCAATGCTTTAATGTCTAACCTTAATTACATTTAGAAAAATAACCTTAATGATAAAGGTAATCAACTTTATATTTCATTTTATTCTCAGATTAAAAACATCTTAAACAAAACATCTCATAGATTTTCCCATAAACACTATTAAAAGCTACTTACATCTTTTTAAGTTCTGTGTATTTGATGAAAACTTTATCTGAAAGACTGTGAATATTGTTTTTCTTAAGAGACCTAAAACAACATGTAAAGAAGACTTTATTATGGAATTTATGACTAACCAATCTCTTTTCTAGAAGTTACATGCTTGAGAATATTTTATCATGCTCCATTTTACTTCACACACATTTGAAAATGCCCATAATAAATGAAAACTTTCACATGAGAATGAAAAGTCCATAAAGCAAAATTAAAGCAGCTTGCAAATATTTGACCACATTAGCCAGCTAGTATAACAGACTGGAATATCTATGGTGATTTAACTTTTTCTTCTGTAGACAACTTAACAAAACACAGCAAGCACATCCAAAAAACAACAAAAATCCTAACCAATTCACGAGTGCCCAAATTATGATATATTTGCAAACAATTTTCTGAGGCTCTCCAAATATCTATGCAGCATTAAAAAAAAAACCTCCATGATTGATTGTGCTCATCTTCATGCATCTTCTACACCTTTAAAGTCTAGGACAAATTACTACTATTTAAAACGAGATAGAACATAAAAGGTTCTCTTCCTTTTTCCCCCCCCAAATTTTTATTTTCACTTGAATAGTACTGGCATATTAGTAATAATATATAAATTGGAAAATGATTAGAAATAAGAATTCCAGAAGTTTGTGAGTTAAAGATAACCTGGAAAATCCAACATACAGTATTTAAAACACTTCTCCCCTGGAGAAGGAGCATGCAGAATTCTCTAATGGCTGATGGTTTTCTATTATTTTGCTAACATACAAGTAGCATAAAACAGAACAAAGATTAGACCATATGGCTTTCATATGAGTTCAGGAGCAAATATCCAGATTTGAATGCTACTCACAGTAACGTCACATTGCTAGAAACCATCGGCACAGACTTCAAGCCAGCATTTACACATTCCAACTCAGATCCTTTGCACACACAGCGTTGTGGGTACTGATCTAAAACTAGGGGGCAAAAAGAGCAATGATTCAATAAGAAAAAATACTTCTCTTTAGTTATGACTTTATCTCTGGTAACTGACATTGTTCTTTTTCCACTGAATGTATGATAGTCACATTTTGTTAAATGAACTTATTCAGGCCCCAAATTAAAGCAAACAAGAAATCTCTTCTAGTTGAATATAGACTCGTGTGGTTTTCATTTCAGTTCTAGCTTCCGTGGTCATTTTAGAGGCACTTAACAAGAGATTAGAAAGAAACCACAAACACATTTAAATAGTGTTTTAAAAAGTATATAGTGAAGCAAGATTAAGCTCTCCTCAATGAAAACCATGAGTGTGACTGAGTAAATATTTAATGGGTATAACTAAGTCAGTTTCACTTAATTGAATGGCACAAAAAGGCTGCTCAATAAATGCTTGTTGGTTAAAGCTAAATTCAACTATTTCCCTCCTTTCAAACTTCTCTTAGAGCTATGATGAGAGTTAGATGCAGGTTCTGCCATAGCCACCATTATGTCTTCCTAAAACCAACCAACTCAGATAGCCTATTATTTTGGTTCTTGGTTTTTCATTACTATGAAGTTAAAGTGGTTGGTAAAAGTGGTAGAGAAGCTATAAAGCAGAGAAAACCAAAGATCCAACTGTCTGAAACATTCAGAGGGAAGAAAAATGCTTTATGATTGACTCCAAGGAGTAAGTTATTAATATAATTGTGTATTATAATTACTAAGATTTGTAATAATATATTATAAACATCATCATGTAATTCTATTCATTATTATATATAATTACTAATTATGTTAATTATTAAAATAACGGCATGTGAGAAGTCTACGGAAAAACCTGGCCAAGTGGGTCAACAGAAAAATCACTGTGTATGTGTGTGTGTGTGTGTGTGTGAGAGAGAGAGAGAGAGAGAGAGAGAGGAGAGAGAGTCTCAGGGAATGAGATTTATGGAGCATATGATGGTACTTGGCTGTGATGGAGCTACAAAAAGTGAGTTATTTTCAAATTTTTATATTTATTATTGATTTAAATCTGACTATAAGTCCTTTCTGATTGCTCTGCTTCCTCTAGATCATTTTTATTCAAACTTTATTTTTAAAATAAATTTCACTGACTTTTAATAAACCTGACAAACTTTTATTGAGTACTTGCCTAATTCAAAAGACACATTCTAGTGTACAAACTTTTAGAAAATATTCTGTGTTGCTCATAGGCTGATGCTAATGATCTCAACTTCCTAAAGATGACTTCAGAATGTTTACTTCAATGTTTAACTGACATTGAAGTAGTTACATTACTAGATTACATTACTAGGGTTGGAAACTCTTTATTTACCAATAGAAGAACTGCATGTAGTTCAAGCTCGGCCAATTGACTAAACCAGAAATGTGAGCGTAGCTCCCTCACCTGCAGGTCAGTCACACCTAAACCTCTGGATTCTTCTTATGAAATGCCTCTTGCTGCCCTCTCTACCTCACTCCTCCCAGAGGTGTTTTCTGGGCTCGGATTCTTAGTCTGGAGCACTGCAAGAAATGTAATGTTCAGTGTCTCTTTCACCAAGCTTTCTCCTCAACCCTCGCAAGATCGACATTTGGGTCAGGTCATTCTGTCAGTGGGTGCTGTCCTGCACGTTGTAGAAGGTTCAGCAGCATCTTTGGCCTCCGCTCACCAGAAGCCAGCAGTCACCCACCACTCTCCAAAGTGACAACCCAGAATGTACCAGACATTGCCAAATGTTCTCCAGGGGCATACCTCTCTCAAGCTGAGAGCACTGTTCTAACCCATTCTTTATAATTCTGGTGCAAGAATCATTGGTCCATACACCTCTTGTCATGTGGTTCCTCCTCTTCATTAAATGGAAATAAGCTCACGACTTTGGTGGTTGCCCACTGTGCACGGCAATGGCCTCCACAATGGCGAGTGTACAAGATGACCCACTGTGGCTCAGGAAGAAGACGCTAGAGTTTTCATATATTTATTTCTCATTTTTTGTAATTTACTCTTTTTTGATTTCTAATTTTATGTATGATATATTTGAATATAGTAAACTACACTAAGTGGTAGCTATGACCTAATATTATAAAGTATATAATATACTGCTAGTGTAGAAGTTAATGTATGTACTTTATACATCTATGTTATGTATACATACTAATGTGTGTATGTAACTATATATACACAATATAATTATCTATTCATTTATATATTATGTGTAATATATAGTATATAATATAATCTGTGTATATATAGAGAGATAATTCTACCATAGGACAGAGGCCAAACTCTGAACTGTGCACCCAGAGTCCCCTGTGGGTTGGTCCCACCCTTCTGGGTCCAACTCCTGCTCCTCCATCTTACGCTCTGCCAACCGATGTGAAAGGCATCAGGAAGCAGGTGCTGAACTTCCTACCCCACTGCTCTGTAGGTCATGCTCCGCTGCTCATTCTGTCACCTCTTACTCCATCCAAGGACCTCCGAGTCCATCCCAGAGTCACCTTGTCTGTGGATCTTTCACCCTCCCTGGCACAGACCTCATTTCTCCCAAATGGCTTCCACACCCCCTTGTGCAAACATTCTTCCTTCAGTTCAGCGCTAATATTGTATCACTCCTGCTTCTGTAAGGAACTGTCTCTCCTAGAACCATGTGAGGTATTTGAAGATTGGGGCCACACCTTAGTCATCCTTGCCCTCAAAGTGCCCAACAGAGGGGCTGAAAAGAAGTTGGTGATTGAAGGGAGTAAGACCTTCCTTAATTGTCACAAGTATTCAGTACCTATGCATTCTTGCAGTCACAGGCTAATACACAGAGTAAGCATAAATAGAGCATGTTGTTTTCCTTTTTCTCTCTTTTCAGTCCCACGAACAGATAATAGACCAGTTGACCACAGAAACACATTGAACTGAAATCGGGGTTCTTAAGGGAATGAATGACACTACCCAGGTAAATCTATGCACCACAAATCATGTCACTCGCAAAGCTGATACTGAGTCTTTGAACCAATACCACTTACAGCACTCCTGTGTTAATGCCACATTATTAGCATTTCCATGGACTGTGCCAAATATAGTCGCCCATCCACTAGTGTCTCCTGTGAAACACACGGTGATGAACATGTGTCAGTTATTCTATAAATAAAATATCAAATTACAAAACAAAAATATAAAAATTTGATCATGAAATCAACTTAAAGTTTTAAGCAATAGAAAGATAACAACAATGGTAAAGAAGAAAAAGCAGGCAAACATCTCGAGTTTTGTCTGTTTCTGCAATTACAAATATTTTAAATATATGATGACTGTTTTCCATACGTGTATCCACTTTGAAAAATATCATCGATTTCTAATGCTGACATTTTAAATGTTTGATCTTAATTTTGAGATCCTCAGAAGAAAACATAATCTGTCTATGTGTATGTAGATACCTATTGATACATGTAATGAATTCTGATAAAATTCATGTCCTTTGACTTTATAATAAGGCAAAAATGAAGTTCCTTTTAATAAAGCTTGTCTAGTCCTGATGAGAAAAATATTTTCTCAATTTGTCAGATGATATGATCTGCTTATTTGCCAGGTTTCCTTCTCTTTTTTAGCAATGAAAACATATTCTTTTAAAAAACAGAAGGCTTGGTTTTTGAAATATGATTATCTTAGCATTAGCACAAGCTATTAGAGGCAATAAAACATACAATATGATGCAGGATACTAAAGTTTATATAAATAGAAAAGTAAATTTAAATAGTTGCCCACAGGTCCCTTTACTGTTCTGCTTTTTTTTTTGGTTTTGCCATGTGGCTTATGGGACCTCAGTTCCCTGACCAGGGACTGAACCCAAGTCACAGCAGTGAAAGCCTGAAATTCTAACCACTTGACCACCAGGGAACTCCCTCCATAGGTACCTTTTGGCAGATCCCTGCAAATTTTAGTTTATTTTTATTTTTTATTAATATTCTCAAAAAATTTTTAAATTATTCTATTGGTGTCTTTACATGAATTACTTAATTTGCATTTGGAAAACTCCCAAGAGGCCAACAACGTGCATGGTCTGAGATTCCCACGCAGTGAAGAGAAGAGGGCAAAAACGTGAGTGACTTGCCCTTGGCCCCCAGAGAGCTGCTCCACCCCTGAGCACTGACTGTCCTTGCCTGTTCTAGGCTCTGGTGACACCAAAGGCAGTAAGATGCCCGTAAGAGCCCTTCTCAAGGTGTTCCTGTCTAGTGAGAGAAGTACAGTGGGAAGACGAGGCCGCCTTTAGTACGTCATCCAGGCACACCAGGATGCGATAGCAGCAGGGAGAAAGGGTGCTTGTCCTAGGCAATGGGACAGCCTCAGGGCGGGAGGCGTGGCCGGGAAGCCGAGCTTCTCAGGCAGGGATGGGGCACCTGAGGTCTATCCTACAAGCTGAGGCGGAGTGACACGCAGGTGGTGAAGGCAGAGGTGCCGGGAGCGTGCACGAGTCCCCGGGGGCTTGAGAGCAGATTCTAGAGCCAGACACCAGGCACTCCTGGGCTCTGCTGTCACCCCTGGGTGCTAGCTGGGCCATGCCAAGGAGGGGCAGTTCGGTGTGGTAGAAAACACACACGATTCTTCCAGATTCAGGACACCTGGGTCCTAGGGTCTACTCTATGACTAACTAGACATGTCAACCTCTCGTGATATCAGTTTCTCCATGGGCAAAATGCACAGGTTAGATGAGAAGACGTATATAGTCCTGATACACAGACCTAAAATGGCCTGTGAGGCCTTTCTGGTCTGGCCTCCCTTATCTCTTTACCCTCTTTATCCTGCTTGCTCTGCCCATCTCAGTCTGGCTTTTACTTCCCACAAACACAGCTATCTTATTTCATTCAGCCTCTGGGTCTTTCATTTGCTGTTTCCTTTGCCTATAACTCTGTTCCTCCAGAATATTTCATGGTTTTCCTCTTCTTTCATTTCATTCTCAAGTCAAATGTCACCATCTCAGCAAGGGGTTTTGTGGCTATGTCTTTAAAGTAGCCTTTCCCCCAAGTCACTTCCTATCCCACTATCCTGATCTGCATACCTCATGGGGCTTACTACTCTCTTAAATTATTTATTTAGGCACAAGTTTGCTCACATCCTTGTTCACAGTGTCCCTGCGAACCCTGAAAGGATGACGCGCCTGTCTCCCCTGAGCCTGTCATGTCCTGCTGACTTGGGAAGGACACAGTGGACACAGTATAGGTCTACTGAATAATTTAATTCTCTAGGAAGATCTATTCACACTTTATAGATATTCTTGCAGTTGAACCCAATTTCCAAGCCATAAGGAAGTGGTCATCATTTAAGCCATTTAAAACTAAAATATGGATATCTGAGTAGGATTTAAAATAGTTTTGTTTTTTATGACACACAACATTTTATCATACTGTGTTTCTGATTTAAGCCACTTCTAAATATGAAGATGCAGGTAATTATCACAAATCCATTGGAGAGGAGTTGTTTAGTCGTGTCACAATAGGATTCCCTACAGAATACCAAATCATCTTTTCCAGTTCATCACTGTTAACATTTGATCCACGCATATAGTTCTGGGGAGTTCACAAGGGGGCGTGTCCGTATGGAGCTGAGCAAGTAGACTCACCACAGTTCTCCTCGTCAGCCCCGTTCCCACAGTCCTCCACGCCGTCACAGTGAAAAGCACGAGGCAAACACTGGGAGAGATTCCCACAGGGAAAATATCCTTTTGGGCACAAAGGAGTGATTGTACTGCCTTCAGCCAGTGCATGATCTATGTGAAAGGGGGGATAGGAATCTTAAGTAATGGGAAGAAATTATTGATATGACCAAACTCTTTTCATATTATCCTGTTTAATTTTTGCAAAGCTCTATGAATTGAGTTTTCTGGCATTACTCTTAGTTTACAGTTTCTCTGAGTAATGTTCTTAATTATAACATTTAAAATAATCACCATCATACCAAACATCAACTCTACCAAGAACGGAATCAAGGCTCATTATGAATCTGCTTCTGGAAAGCAAGAGTAAAACAAAGCCAAAGTGATTGTCCTACTTGTGTATGGATTAAAGACTTGATCCCCCCTGGAAACAGGAAAGCAAAACCATGAGCTAACAGGATCAAACAGATGAATTTATTTACTCATTAATCCTTTATAAGAAGGATTTGAGGTGACATAATGAAAATTCACATGCAGAAGGAAAGATGAAGTGTGAATGAGAGAGAAATCCAGGACCACGTTGGAATAAGGAGAGATAATACTACGTAATAACAGGTAACACTCATTGGGCTTACTGTATACTAGGTAGTTTGCACACTGGTTAATCTCAGCTATAAGCTATGACCAACCTAGACAGCATATTAAAAAGCAGAGACATTACTTTACCAACAAAGGTCTGTCTAGTCAAAGCTATGGTTTTTCCAGTAGTCATGTATGGGTGTGAGAATTGGACTATAAAAAAGCTGAGTGCCAAAGAATTAATGTTTTTGAACTGTGGTGCTGGAGAAGACTCTTGAGAGTCCCTTGAACTGCAAGGAGATCCAGCCAGTCTATCCTAAAGGAAATCAGTCCTGAATATTCACTGGAAGGACTGATGCTGAAGCTGAAACTCCAATACTTTGGCCACCTAATGCGAAGAACTGACTCACTAGAAAAGACCCTGATGCTGGGAAAGACTGAAGGCAGGAGGAGAAGGGGACAACAGAGAATGAGATGGTAAGATGGCATCACCAACGTGATGGACATGAATTTGAGTAGGCTCTGGGAGTTGGTGATGGACATGGAAGCCTGGCATGCTGCAGTCCATGGGGTTGCAAAGAGTCGGACATGACTGAGCAACTGAACTGAACTGATACCTTAAATCAATGTGTGGGTGATAATATCTTTCCTGTTTCAGGGTTAGGGAAGTGAAATGCAAAATGGATCTGAATCATCTCTCTGACCCCAGAGGCCCATTTTTAACCATCATGCTAGGGAGAATCAGGAATCTGCAAAGTCTTCTCCTTGTCCAGGCAACATAAAAGAAAATGAATGAGAGCTGAATAACTGCTGGATTGAATGAGAAAGTGCAGAAAGGAAACATAATTAATATTTGTAAAGTTACTATATCTGTAGGTAGGATGACCAAAGAGATTCCAGAAACATAGAAGTGAGAACCATTCTCTCAGGTTTTAAAGAATATTTTCCAGAAAATAAAGATATGTGGGCTTTTTGGGATAAATATCTAATAAAAATTTAGGAGTCATATATATATATATATATATATATATATATTTAAAGAGAATAGAGGTTAGATAGAAATAGGCAAGGGGGATTAAGAGGTACAAACTTCCAGTTGCAAAACAAATGAGTCAAAGGTACGAAACGTACAATGTGAGGGGAAAAAAGTGCAAGATGAAACTTCAAATAAATTGACTTAAGGAGAGTGCATTCTCAGGCAGGGCTACAGTTCATCATGACTAATTGAAGGGAACAAGGGATGTTAGCAACATTTTCCTAATCATGCCCATGAAGTTTGGCCTCATGGCTAGGAATTTCCTTGGGTTGGGGGTACAGTGCTTTTTGCTCCCCTGTGGCTCAGATAGTAAAAAATCTGCCCACAAACCAGAAGACCAGGGTTTGATCCCTGAGTCAGGAAGATCCCCTGGAGAAGGGAATGGCTACCCACTCCAATATTCTTACCTGGAGAATTCCATGGACAGAGGAGCCTGGCAGGCTACAGTCCATGGTGTTGGAAAGAGGAAAACACAACTGAGAGACTTAAACTTTCACACTTCATGGTGCCTTTCAATACAGCAGAGGACTAGACAACCTAACCTTTGGGGAGCATCGTCTACTGTGTGCTGGGTGTTTCCTAATTATTTCACTTAATCCTAACACATTTGTGTTGGTATTACTGTCTCCATGTGAAGATGAGGAATGTGGACTTGCCAGGTGGCCCAGCATTAAAGAATCTGCTTGCCAATGCAGGAGATGTGGGTTCGATCCCTGGGTCAGGAAGATCCCATGGAGAAGTAAATGGCAACCCACTCCGCTATTCTTGCCTGGGGAATCCCATGGATAAAGGAGCCTGGTGGGCTAGTCTATGGGATTGCAAAGAGTCAAACAGGACTTAGCAACTAAACAACAACAAAGATAATGAATGGCTGCTGAGAATATGAAGGGCACTTCTACTCTGGTTCTTGGGAAAACGCCCTGTGAGCTCTGAGTCCTCCCAGCCCATGCTGCATTGTGATGAAGTGTTCTCCCACCAGAGTGTTCACTCTCCTAAAGTCAGTGATGCCTGCTGACCCTCCTTGTTTAACAAATCACACCATTTGTAAAAGGGCAGGAGTTTGATTCAGACACTAGAGCTAGGTCTGAGTTATATTACATGTCAAGCTTTTAGTGACATTGTTAGAGAGCATGAGTAGATTGTTGGATTTTTTGAGCTTTAGTCCTGATGACCCTCAAAATCCTACAAACACATGAAGGAGCCTTTCCTGGGGACCCTGAGATGTGGCGATGCTCACTCTCCTATGGAAGCTGCTGCATCTATGAGGCCTTCCCTCACTGGGGAGTGTGGCCCTTGGATTCTTTTCTCCCCACTGGGTTTTTGTTTTTACAAAAGTAGAACGTATTTTCTCTGCCTTTTCTGCAGTGATTGATGAATGATTTACTGTGAGCAACTAGGCATAACACCAGTCAGGTCTGACTATTTTAGGAAAACTCTCTGCTGTGAGTCTCTGGAGGTTGGCTTGTTAAGCCTATTCATACACAGAAAGGATTTCAAAGATTAAAAAAATCAATGAAAGGCCATAGATTTTAAAATCTCTTAACTTCTTTCTTACAAAGATTTCTACAGAGGGCAGGTTTATAAAAACTAGTCCTCCTGTGTTTGGAACATGCATGAAAGTAAATGTGTTAGTCGCTTCAGTCATGTCTGACTTTGGGACCCCATGAACTGTAGCCCTCCAAGTTCCTCTGTCCATGGAATTCTCCAGGCAAGAATACTAGAATGGGTTGCCATGTCCTCCTCCAGGGGTTCTTCCCAACCCAGGGATCAAACCTGGGTTTCCTGCCTTGGCAGGAGACTTTACCACTGTGCCACCTGGGAAGCCCTGGAACATGAATGAGTAAGGGTCAATATTTCTTAGTGAAGCAGCTTTAAGATTAAGATAGTAACTCACAGTTAGAAATAAATTTTGCATCACATCACAATTTGGCATACAAATACACACACATACATGCACAGAAAACAAAATTTCTTCAAATATTACTTACCTTTTACTATGGTGGATGAACTCTGATCATTACCATTCTATTTTATTCACTTAAAAAGGCATCACAAGTCACTAAGTTGATCTCATGAGCCACCAATAAGATGTGAACCACTATTTTAAAATATTCATTAGTAATGAAGTACTCTGGAGACCATCACATCCAGATTACAACTCTCTCTGCCACTCCCTAGCTATATCACTTCGAGCAAGCTGTAAACTTTAGTTTTCCCATATTTAAAACTGGGTTAATGATAATATCCCAGGAAGCAGACCAGCTAGTGCTTATGAAGTGCTGGAGAATGCCTGGCCCATGGAATACCCTTGGTTAATGTTGGCATACTGGCAAATGCAATGCAAGGTGAAAAAAATAGAACTTTGATGGAACCTTGCCGGGCCTTAGCATTGCATGATCTTTTTATACAACTTCTATGAGAGAAATAATAGGACTACAATAAAGCTTCTCCTACTTCTTTATGTTATTATTTTAAAAGTTATGTGACGTACATGGTTTCTGTTTTAAGTAACCTCAAACTCTTGAAAGCTAAAGGGGGATTGTAAATGATTAGGCAACAGAAATATCCTTGCAACTTTCTAATAATATCTTTTTATTGATCTAGAAGAGGTAATTAAGCACTTGGTTTTAAAGATAGTTTTGAAAAAAAAATAAAATAAAGACAGTTTTGAAATAGACAGCTGAGGCTGTGTAGGATATTCTGAAGGCAGAACACTGTCTTCCCTTATGGGGTTTATTATGAAGATAATCTTGAGTTCCCTGAGGTCTGGCCCCATTAAATGTCCATCTCACAGATGCACACTCATTCCAAGTGAGACAAATAATCCAGGGTCAAAGACAGGAAGGATCAAGGTTGTTTCCTTTTCCTTGGGGAAAAAATAGGCTACATTCACCAGGTATGGGTGAAGAAAGGGGAGGGGAAAGACTGACCATGTACAAACAGAACCTTACCAACTGTATTTCTAAAAATTCCCATTTTTCACCCCAGAATGGAATCTTCCTAAAAACAATTCAAGGTATAAATTGTATGTGGAAGGGAAATAAAATCTATTCCCTACCTACTCCCTTGCCCTCTGTATCATGAATCTTTATTATCTAACCTAGTGCCTGGAACTTAGTTGGTACTCATTAATTTTTTAAATGAATTAATGGATCATTTAGGAATAAAAGAAGGGTTGAAGGAAGAACCTCTTTAAAATGTAAAATGCCCAAAGTTGCAGGCTAATGTTTTGATTCTGATGACAAAATATTGTTTAGTTTTCAAAGTGCTTATCACTTATCATTCTGTCATTATACAATTTAGAAAATGATTAATAAGAGTCCTTGCTATGGTTGGCATGTACTGAAAGAGAGCCAATACCAGTCTGTAGACAGCATACCATGCTGTCTATTCTTCCTGCCATCTGTGCAAGTGGAGATAGTTTTTATTGAAACTTGGGGATTATAAAGATGGAGGATGCCTACATAAAAGCTGTGTCAATAGCTTCTAAAGCAATGTC